TTAGAATATCAAAATAGGCTTGATAAGCCCACCCCCCAAAAAAATTTTTTGATGATATCCCTCCAACTATTAGATATATGCATCTAATATTGATCCATCTACTGGTTTACAGAATTTTAATGTTCTAACCCAACCTTAATCCCTCACATTGCTACAAAACATGATGAATCTCTTAAAGATAAGCAAAGAAAATAATGACGATTAAACAAACGCCTTACCTGTTCTAGAGTTACTGGTAGACAAAATAATAAAGAACTACGCTTGAAATGAACTCATCTGGAGGTTTATTATTTTTTTATCTTATGTTTTATATCTATGTTTATTTTATTTTCACCCAGTTCTCCAAATTATACTATCATCACTACCACAATTCCTATGCCTCCGCCTATTTTTTAACAAATATAAACATTTAATTCTGTACTATCATTCACTTCACTAGGAGTTAATATAAATATTACTTTATCCAAATCTCTGAGAAACTTTCATGATTATTTAGAGGAATGTTCAAACTTGAATGTGCAATACGGCCATTTTCATCAACTTTATTAATTGAAAAATATGCAGTAGTTCTGTCGTGGCCTTTATAACAATTCTTACTACCTTTTATGGTTGAGTTAACATTGTCGTTCATGATTCTATTTTAGAGGGGGCTACTAATGCTGACATTAACAGAAATATCATTTTGCGTTCTTCTTTTACCAGTATCCCAAGGCATAGGCGTATGACTCATCCTTATCAGGACCTATTGTGTTTTGTACACTGCTTCGGTAATCCGTCATTACTTTCATCTACAACCCTAAATGATATGAAATTGTACATTAATTATTTCCTTTTCAGACAACCTTCCAGATTTATTTTGTCGCCTTTTCCATCAAAAATAAAAATGTCAACAAGGATTTGCTCTTAATTTTATCAAATACACAACATAATAATTATTCCTCATTATTTAAAAAAAATTAGCCTAAATTTATATGTCAATAAAAAATATTTTCTTAAAAAATATATATATAATTTGCATATAAGTTTCATTAGTGTTTAATAGCGTTTTTGTTATTTAAATAGATAACCTTTTTTTTACTTAACATAAAATATAGACAAATAATTTGGGAAATGTAAGACATACATTAAATTTATCCGAAAAGCTCACAATAACCCTATATAATAAACAACAATTTATTTTTTATATATAATTATAATTGATCATATTACCAAAAAGTATAAGAGTCGGTTATTTTTATTTTATTTGTCATGATTCTCTAATAAGTGGTTTGCCCAGGCCTTCCCAGTTTCCCTTAATACGGAATTCACATGTTTTTTTTACATCTTAAACTAATTGGTAAATTAGATGATTCACCTTCATGTGATGATAAATCAATTTAAAATTTAACTATCTCCGAGGTGGGAAAAAATTTTCAAAATTATATTGGATACGACTGGGCTTGGAACTTCAAAATTTATATTAGCTTGCACCTGACATGGGAATATCTTTAACATATTATTAAGGGTTGAGCTGGGCTGGATAAACTTTTTAATAATTATATGCTTCCTAATATTGTGAGCTTGGATCTGGCATGACATCTATCATAAAAAAATGAATAAAAATCTCATTCCCCGTCATTTTTGACCGGCTTTCTACTAGTTATAATGAATTTTACTAATAAATGCTTTTGATAATAAATATAGTAACAATTTGCTTTCAAGTCCATCTATTTAGTTATAAATAATTTTAAAAATTAAATATTTTATTATTCATCCTACAATAGATGTAATAAATTTGATATCTTTTCTTTTCTTTTTTACGTAAGGAAAGCTATTTTTTTCTTTTTCAAAAAACAGTTTTGAATTAAATTTTTAATACAAGTATATTTTTGATATTATTACGAACTACTATTATTTTAATATATAATATACCAACTAGAGGTGGTGCGACAATATATAAAATCTTAATTGTTTCATCATATCATTCTAGTCCTTAATTTATAGTTCCAAAATGTTTCATTTCTAATATGGCATCCTTGCCGTGTAAATAATTCAAGGCTTCAATATATTTGCACAATTATTTCTTCCAAAGATTTTTAGTGTTTTATCAATTTATCCAACATAATAAATTCTGATATTAGTTTACATCGTGAGTGTCTAGGCTATTACTGCAAATTAACCAACATCTATTATTTGTGTTGCTATGTAATTTTAGATTATTACTACAATGGCTGAGAGCATATGATTGCATATTTTAGATAAACAATAATGGTCAACTGTGTAGTCGTTTATATATTATATATCATTTAAAATGGATGATAATCTTTTAGAAATTTAATATCTCACAATAATTTTCTCGATTAATTATCTAGCTACCCTCATTTCACCTGAAAGGAAGTTATAACCACTTAATAGTTTTATGATTTGGATTGGTCGTTTATACTCTCTTCTTCAAGAATTGTTGATTTGGTTTAGGCCTATAAAATTTTCCTTATTAGTCCATTCTATAAATGTGTAAAATGGTAACAGAGAGTTATATTAGTTTGATAACCTCTTGTCAATGTAAGTTGCTAAGAATTATATTATTGCATTATGTGGTTTTTAAAAACTATTATCAATTGAGGAATATGTATGAATTAATTAATCTTTATTATCACTTATAATTCTTTAGACGCAAATTATTTTATATCAGCAATCGAAAATATTTTATACTGTAATAAATAGATTTTTTATTAAAAAATTTTATTATAGAAATGTCTTGTATTGTTTTAATTATTTATATGCCAGTTTATTTTGTATGCATAATATAAAATGACAAAATATGAAATTCAGAATAATTGTTTAGAGTTAACAAATTTAAAAAAAGTATAATATATTAATACATAACAAATAAAGGGGGTATGGGAGGCAAAGCCCCCCCCCCCCCATAAAAATTTTTTAGTTGAGCCCCCTGAGATTGTAGAGGCTAGCGACGCCCCTGACATAAAGAATTGAGCAAAAAAGCCTATACATGAGAACTGCAAAAATAATTTAATTACTTTAAGGGTGTATGGTGGCTAATTTTAAGTTTAAAATCTTTAATGTAAGCTTTAATGATTACTAACAATAATTGAGAATATGTTCATATCAATTGAATTTCAAATTATACTCATAAAAAAATAAAAAGACGCATAGGAAACTGCTCTCTATTTTTAGGTAATGGAATAGTAATTGTTGACCAAGATTAACAAATTGCATTATGACATTATATGATAGTCTTCCACTCACGGAAAACAATTCTACCAACAAACATAAATACAAACCTCGCCCCACTTTCGCTTGGTTTCTCCATGAATGAAATAACAAGTGGTCAAAAAGCTAAGAAAAAACAAAGCTCTGGGGCAAAAGCCTAGCCAGGATTTTCCGAAGGGGGAGGGAATTAAAAAATTACTGAGGCTTCGCCCCCAGATTCCCTTTGGCGGGCCTTCGGAAGGGTTACCATAGTCTATATATAGTCATAATTTTTACAAATTTTAATAAAAAAAATAATACTGGAACAAATATGAAATATATTTTTATTAGTTTATATAAAATATAATAAATTACTTGTATATATATTAATATAAAAGCATGGTAATAATTTATTCCAAACAATTATAAGAAATTTATTTATAAAAAGTAAGTAGACATATAGTTGATATTCCTCTATTATATAGAATTAGTTACAAAATACTAGGTAAAATTCCACTTTTACAGACATACTTGACAATTAGAGAGTATATTACAGTTAATTATTTAACAAATTTTACTAATCAATGCTCTTGATAATGAATATAGGAACAATTTGCATTCAATTATTTAACGCCATCTATTTATTTAAAGTAAAAAAAATTAATCTTCATATTATTCATCCTACAATGTCTTTAAAAGATATCTGATATCCTTATCAATATTTTATAGTTTTCTGTAAAATATATAATTCGCTATATTAGTAAAAATTACCTGATTGTCATATGATAATTGATAAAATTAGATACACTGTAAATCTAAGACATATAATAATCCACTGTTTGTATTGTGTTTTAATATTTTTATTTAATTTATGATTTAATTTTATCAATAGTTTTATCATTATATTTTACTTTTATTAAGATAAATAAATTAAAATTACTCACTTTATTAAAAATTATATTTGATATATTATACTATTTAGTAATTTTATGGATCTATTATTAATAATTATAATACATTTCACCTTTGTCTTAAGACTTATCTTTGACTTATATTTCATTTATTAAAAAACATTTTTGGTTCATTTTATATATTTATAAATTTATTTTTCCAAAAATGTATAAATTATGATGAATAGTTTTATAAAAAAATATCAACTTTTACATTCTTTCTTTCAAATTATTGTTTAAGATATATGCATACATTTTTAAGGGTCAGGGAGTGGGGGGAGGACTAAGGGGGATATTTTTTATTAGCTAAAAATGTTATTCACAAAAAGTGATAAATTTCTGAAGGGGGCAAGGGAAAAATTTCCCCTTGCCCCCCTCCCTGGCTACGCCTATGGCTCCGGGGCTGGATAATATTACAACAGAATATCCAAAAATTGCACCTACGACAATATCTCGCTACCTATTTGCCCTCTTTCAATTAAATGGGAGAGCGGAACTACTGCAGTGTAATAGAACATATAATACCTATGCAACTTCCCATAAATAAAGACCACAGAAATTTAAGGATTCTGTGTCATAAAATTTTTTTTTATGGTTCTCTCAAAAAACCCACAAAAATATCATCTACACCCAATCTACACCTTATCTTTTCCCCAAAAATACAAATGTTTGTACAGGCCAAACAAAACAATATACTGGAGCCAAAATTAGCTCAGAAAAATAACCACGCAGAAAAAAAGTACAAAGACACCCTCCTACATCACATTTGTAGATTTTAGCTGCTAGGGTTTTCCCCACATACAAGCCCTATGCAAGCATGAAGGCCTGGCCCTATGATGCAATTATTACATCTATCCTTATTTCGGATTTAAAATTTTTTAAGGTGCTGGCAAATAAATTTAAAAAAAATGTTTCAACCTCCTCAAAGTATAGATTTCCCTCTTGAAGAAAAGCTTATTTTAGAATACTGGAGTGAAGTTAAACCTTTAGAAATAAGTTTAGAACAATCTAAAGATAAGCCAAAGTTTATATTTTCTCCCAAATTTTAAAGATGTATAATTATTAAGATATGGATTTTATGATGGACCACCTTTTGCCACTGGAATGCCTCATTATGGCCATATCTTAGCTGGCACGATTAAAGATATAATTACAAGATTTGCTCATCAAAATGGATTTCATGTTGATAGAAGATTTGGATGGGATTGCCATGGATTACCTATAGTATTTAGTTTTATCTATAAATATTTAATACAGCATTTTAAAAATATGAATTCTTGACATAGTTACATAATATGTTAAGATTAAAAAACTGTTTTAGATAGGATAAAGATTATTTATAAACTGATAAAATCTTTGAATTTTTTAAAAAAATATAATATAATGTGTAAAATTATATATCTATGATTTATTTTAAAAAAATATTCTAATTTATTAGGAATATGAGATAGATAAGCTTCTTGATATAAAATCTCCTGAACAAGTTTTAGAGATGGGAATAGACAAATATAATCATCATTGTAGAAGTATAGCAATGAAATATTCAAATGAATGGAGATATTGTATAAATAGGCTTGGACGTTGGATAGATTTTGATAATGATTACAAAACTTTGTATCCTTGGTTTATGGAGTCAGTTTGGTGGGTCTTCAAACAGCTTTATAATAAAGGACTTATTTATAGGGGGTTTAAGGTTTAATTTAAATAATATATTTCATAGTTTATATTTTGAAAATTTACCCATTTGTTTATTACTAAAAAATAAATAAATATCAGAGACCTAAGCCTAACCTGGGTTCCTGACTCCAAATAGCTTATAAAATGGTATAATTGAGCCAGACCTTTACAACCTATGGCCTAAAAATCAGAGACCTGCAGAGGTATCATTTGCACGGCCTGGCCCGGATTTTTTTTCAAAAATTTTTACAGCCTGGCCCCAGTTTAAAAATTTTAGGTCCAACTTGGCCCGGATATTTTATAAAAAAAAATTTTCGGGCCCGGCCCTGATTTTAAAAATAAAAATTTTTTTAGGCCCAGCTCGGAATTTTTTAAAATTATATTCAACCTGGTATATACAAAAAATTCACCTATTCGGTATTTTATCATATTTTTCGGCAAGTATTATCATTTAATAAACAAGCATATTAGCTGGTGTTGCTAAATGACTCATTTTGAGCCGATTTTTAAAATCGTATTTTCGCCAGAAAAATATTGACCTAGCCTCGAAATTTCGATACTATATGTCTAGTCTAGACCTTTGCTCCTTATATAAACAAAATTTTTAGGCTTGCGTAATATTTTTCTAAATAAAATACTGTGTTAGCCGTTTTTAAAAATCGGCTCAAAACAAGCCGTTTAACAACACTACATATTACATATTTATTTATTTTTTATTCTAAATTAGTATATTACAAATTGATATAATAAAAAATTTGTGTAAATAATATTTTGAGAATATACTATATTAATTGTATTTATAAAAAAAATAAAACTGATATTTTAATTAATAAAAAATATAACATATATTATATAATAATGTATTTATTACCTATTATCCTTTGCGTATTAATTCCATGGCAGGAAAACTATAATTATATTATGTAATAGATACTATGAGTGTTAGCTAGTGTTAACCTTCACCCAACATTATATTATTCAAACTATATATATAGTCATTATAACCATATCTAATTGACTAATATAGCCCGGCCCAGCCTGGGTATTTAAAAAAAAAAATTTCAGGCCTGGCCTGGCCTGCGTATATTTTAAAAATTTAAAATATGGCCTGGGCTTAGGGCCAGGCCTGCAGGTCTCTACTAAAAATATTAACATTATGATGAATAAATTTTTTTATAAAATTAATAAATATAAAAAAAATCTGGGCCACTCTAAAAATTTTTAAAAAATATCTATGCAAAGCTTGAAAAATCTGGGGCAGGCCTAAATCTGTAAAATATTTTATATTTTTACTGTCTATTAACTAGGGTTGGCCAATAAAAATTAAAATACAATACAATTTCAAAAATAATATTCTATTTGTTTTTTAAAATTTTATAAGAGAATTATGATATCTTCCAAAATCTAGATGTTAAAATTAAAAGATCTATTTTTTTATGTCTAACTTGCACATCATGTACTTGTTATTGGTATTTGAATTTAAATGTTTAAAAGAAAATTAGTTTTCCTAAACGATTCCTAAGTTTGGAATACACTCCATGATGAAAATACTCTACTAAAGCTGTTGATTGTTTTATTATGAATTAAATGGTCTGTTACCCATCATTCATATTTTTTTCATCTGAAAACATAATTTTATCAAATGAATCAGATCTGGGATTTTACCATGATTGATGGATAAGAGATTGGTTGTAGATATAAAATAAGTCGTATTCCATTGCCTTCGGTTTCTTTGTTTGTTAAATTTGAAACATATTTGGGGGTTAGAAGATTGGATAAGAAATATGTCGGTGAAAGTATTATAATGTTGGCTTACAGGATGGTGGATTATAAAAAAAACTATAATAATAAACTAGGGCTGTGCTGATATTAAATATCAGATGGTATCGTGGATGGTATCGGCACCAATATTTAGCGTATCTGATATTTTTTGAATAACCGATCCTATCCGAAATTTTTTTAAAATTGTTTTTAGTAATTTTATGATTGTATATATAATCTTATAATTTTATCTTATAAATAATTTCATTATAATAAATTAATAAGAGGAACTAAAATACAATTTATTTGTTGTAATGTTTAACAAAATAGTTTAAAACTTTACACTATTTTTTGTTATAATGTGTGCAACAAGAAAAGGATTTTAAAATATCTAACGAGTCGCATTCAGCTAGTGTTGCTAAATGGCTCGATTTCGACAATTTTTAATAATAATTAACTCAAAATTTTAGCAAAATTAAATTACTCAAGCTTATTGACTTTGCCCACAGATGGCAAACTATTGTATTGACGAAATTTCGAAATTTAGGTAATAATATTTTGGTTAAAATAGCCTTTTTAAAAATCGGTTAAATGGAGTTGTTCAATAACACTATCATTCATAAATATTGCAAATATTTTAAATGAGATTATTGACTTTTGGAAAATAAAAAAATAAAATACACTTAATCATTCGTTAAAGTTAGTTGATTTTTATTAAAATAGTTTTATGACATTGATACAAAAAATGTATGGTAAAATAAATTAATATCATTATCGGATTGGTTTTTTTAGTAAAATCGGATCCGTGAATAAAAATTGTGGATCGGCAAGTCCTATAATAAACTAATCTAATTTAGATATAATTAATCCTTTTTTTAAATTTTATCAAATAACCAAACATTTTAAAAATGATAGATTGCTTATTTGATTTGTGCGATATTTTGTTATAAACATTTGATTTATCCTTAGAAAAAGGGTTAATTAAAGCATATTTATCATAATATGATTTCAGAACTACCTTCTATCAGAAAAAGTGAGGAGCGAGCTAGTTTTAAAAATATTAATTCTTGTGACATACTAAACAATTGATTTAAATTAAGGGTATTAACAAAAATTTTAAATTTATATAATGCATCAGGGCACCGAATTGGGAAATACCGATAGCTAAAATTTAAAATAATAAAATTATTATTTTTTATTAGTCAAAAAATAAAATATTAAATTTGGTTTAAAAGTTTTATTTGAGGATATTCGTAATAGTATTCGTTTTAAAAATGTATGATTTTCTTTCCGACTCTCGGATATCGAGTAGATAATTTTTTTTTAAATAGATGCACATATCATCAAATTTTTGATTGACTGTCGGCTTTTCTTTTAACAAAATATCAAATTGGCTCATGACTTATCTATAATTTTTAAATAATTTCCTGACAGATCTCCTGAAGCATTAACCTTTTACTTACAAAGAAATATTGTAGTAAGGTATGATGTAGGTTCACTCTAAACCTGTAACTTTTAGCCAATAATTTATGAACTTTTATATTTGTATTTTTAAACCATATATTAATATTTTAAAATATATTAACCTAAAGTGTAGTGTAATGTTGTTAATCAGCTTCTGAGCCATTGCTAAAAAAATGGTTAGAAACAAGCCATAAATCAAGAAAGGATTTTTTTTGTTTTAGGCCATTTCCTAGAGCACATTTTTTTTAGCATGCCCTTTTGCTTAAATTTATTTAATAATGTTAAAATGTAGGTGTGATAATGAAAAAATGCTATTGTGCTTTAGAATTTGTGATTTAGCCATTTTTCTGTCTAAAAGCTGAATAGCTGATTTGAATTACCATTTCACAACACTCTGTCTATTTTTTATTTTTGTATAAAAATTTCAGGTTATGCCCTTTTCAACTGCCTGTCATACACCCATATCCAATTTTGAATCTGGTCTTAATTACAAAGATGTCAATGATCCAGCTATAACCATTAGTTTTCCTCTCATCGAAACTTCACTAAATGACAAGATTAAAGGCGAAATGATTAAAGTAGTAAGTTTGTTAGCCTGGACCACTACACCCTGGACTTTGATTTCCAATTGTTTTCTCTGTGTGAATCCGAATTTAGTTTATGTCAAAGTTTTGGGTAGGATTTTATATACACGCATTTATTTTTAGCTCTATTTACAAATTACTTATTCACCAAACTAATGCTTATATTATAACCTATGTAAAAAATTAATATTATTATTCATCTTAAATAAGGTTTTTATCCAAATTTAATAATCCATTTAATATCATAATCTCAAAGGGTTCACAACATATGCTTAATTATGTAAACAATATTTTGTTTTTTAGTAACAATAAATATTACTTTATATCAGAGATCCAAACCGAACCTGAACCAAACCATTAAACCGCTAAAAACCGGTATTTTTATCGAGCCTAAACCGTTAAAAAATTTCTAGCCTAACCTGAACCGAACTGCTAAAATGCCTCTGAACCAGTTCGAGCTAAATCATGATTTTATGCTTATAAAATAAGGTGCAAGTTATTACTAGAGTAAGTATATTGCAAAAATTTTAATTATATTCGAATTGTTTTAAATATTATTATCAATCACATTTGATTGATAAGTGTCAGTCATAATTTTTATAAACTTTAGTATATTGCCATTATACAACATTTTTAAGTATTTTAAGCATATAAATTATAATGCATAGAGAAAAATTACCAATATATAAATTATTTACATATAGTATTAAAAATGACACATCAAAATGCAATATTATTGATTGTTAAATAAAATATGAAAGGCCATCACGGAGCAAATCTTGAGCGTCACATAAAACCACCCTATAGAATTCGATAGAATTAACAAAATATCACAACAAAAGCCTAATAAAATAAAAAAACTTTAAGATGTCATCAAGCCAACACACGATAGAAAAAGCATTAAAAGAGTGTTGCATTTTTGCGTTACAAAAAAAAACATTATTCAAATTGTAATAATATTCAAACAAAAATTATGTTTTATTAAAAAGTTATTATTTAGATCCCCGTCTATGTAAATGAGATGAAAAGCGTGATAATTGTAGATTTTTCATACTTAAAGAGTTTTAACAAGTGGGATGATGAACTATTATTTTTCCGCTTGGAAGACTTTTTAATTTTTTACTTTTACATATAATTTTTATTTTTATATTAATTTTATTTTGATTATGTTTTTCACTTTGTGTTTGATTATAGTTATTTATTTAATTAAGATTTAGAATCATATTTTAGTATATATTTTTATTTTATATTTTAGATTCTTAAGTTCACAATCCAAATACTTCCAATTGTGACAAATAGTAAAACTAAAAAAAAAAAATAATCGATGCTTGTACTGAATTTGTCACTTTTAATGGCAGACCATTTAAATTAATCGATGATAGCGGTTTTTAAAAAAATTATTGATCCTTTATTAGAAGGCATGGATAATATTAAAATTAATTTTCAAAATATTCAATCTTATGTTGCAGAATTAGCCTTAAGTATTCGGCAAAAGTAATCAAAGAAATAAATGATAAGTTATTATCTCTAAAAATTGGCTGTGCTACTCATATAGACAGGTCCATTATTGGGATTAATCTTCAGTATATTCAAAAAAGCAAAAATTGTTCTGGAACACTAGCAATGAAAGATTTGAACTGCCCACTGCAGAAAATTTAAAACTCCTCTTAATAAAATTATTAAATGATTATGAAATCAAAACTACAAATATACACTATAACAACTGACAATGGGGCAAATCATTAAGATGGTAAAATTATTTATGGAGGATAGTGAGAATGACAATCAAATGTTTGAAAGAAGAACAAATATAAATTGTCAGATATCATACTGGCAGTGCTGGCTACTCAGGTTAGTGTGGAAAGATGTTTTTCACCAATTAAATTTATACTATCTCCTTATAAATGTAATTTGAGTGAGACTAATCTTGAGAATATATTCATTGTGTGGCCTAATAAAAATTTTTTAAGTAAATAGTTAAATATTGTTCACATTAAAATAAATCATTGATATATATATTGTTACATTTATAAATTAAATATTATTTTATAATGTGCAATTAATAAAAATGAAGGTTTTATGCATGTGTTTTTATGAAAAAAAATATTCTTATACATAATTCAAATATAGGTTTGAATACAAAAGTGTTTAAACCGGTTTTTAGAGGTCAGAACCGAACCGGACCGATATTTTTATTTTTTACGAATCGAACTTGAACCGTGAACCGTTATTTTTATTTGAACCTGAACCGATCCGATATTTGTTTCGGTTTGAATCCCTGCTTTATATAATCTTTTTTTGTAACTTCAAGTTTTTAAACTAAATAGTATGGATGTTTGATTCAATATCTTTTTCATCAATCCAATAATGAAAATATTTTTTAAAAGCTGATCTGATATCGAACTAATGTTTTAATTAAAAATTTGCTTGTTAAAACTTTAAGATTTTGATATTTTTAAAATGTAATCAGAATATTCCTCTGCCATCCTCTCTTATTAAATAAGCTTCCAAAACTTTTTTCCATTTTAATTCTATATTGTTCTCTTAAATATTGGAATGAAAAATATAAATGCTAATAAACAAAGTTATAATAGATATTTGCAGAATGAAATCAATAAATCACCATTGACTCTCACTCATTCACTTTATAAAAAGTGTACAGGCCATAATGCGATTTTTTATTATTTCAAAAAATGGGATCGGTTTTTAAATAATATCGATCCGATCCCATATTTTCGAAAATAACCGATCCGATTTCAATCCAATATATGATCAGATTGCCCTACGAAATATACCTAAAAGAATAATATTCTATTCTACCACAAATATAAATTATACGCTAAATCCTATATTATTTGGTAAAAGGACAAAGCATTTTTTTTCGCTCATATTTGACAATAGCTTTCAAATTATCTTTAAATAAAATGTAATATTTTTCTGGACAAAATATTGAGTTAGCCGTTTTTAAAAATCGATTCAAAACGAGTCGTTTAACAACACTACCCCTAATCATGCCAAACTTCTTTTAATTTTACATGTTATATATTAGATGAAACGAGTGGAAAAATGTACATCCTAGGTGAATCACGTTTACCCACTTTCTTCAAACCGGGAAAATACAAAATTTTGGACAAGTTTAACATTTTTTTCTAACATCACTTATGTCATAACCATTCTTTATCCCCTTAAGTCAGGTCGCGTCTTTTAGACTTTGTCAAAAAAAAGATTTTTTTATATACAAGTGCAACTGGGTTTTAATTTAAATTATTGATGATATTCGTTGCGTAATTTTAGAAAATTAACATACAAAGTAAATTCCCATTTAATTTATAAAATTTGTAATTTTTTTTTATGATAATGGTAGCGGGTTGCTTTGCACAATATAAAACATCTATTGTTGATATAAAATAAAGTATAGGATACCTAAGAGTACAAAGTTATAAAAAAAATATCATTCGATTAGAATAGTTTTAACGTTATATTAATCAAAAATAAAATTCAATTAGACTCACCTCAATTTTTTTAAAGATTTTGTGTAATGGTAGTAAAAATATTACATTTTACTTCCAAACTCCGGTTATATTCTGAGATATGGAGTCTTAAAAACGGAAAATAACATTATATAATAATTAAGCTATGGCAGCGATTGAAATCTTGTTTAAATAATGGCTGTTTAATGTGACATAAAATTGAATGTATACTTAGAACCGGAATTATAAAACCAGAAACATACATGGAAAAAAAGTATTTTTTTACAAGTTATTACTAACTAGACTAATTTATATATGATCTCCGGTTGTAAGGAGTTGGGAAATTTTTTTTAAGAACCAGAATAGTAAGGGTATAATTTGAAAAACAAATAATGCTGAAAACGACAAGTATTAAATATTTTCCTTCTCTGAAGAACTTATGAGTTTCATTTATTAATTATAAATCTAGATTTACCGGCGATCATCTTAAAGGCAAATTCTACGTCCCTTTATTCCCATATTACGCTCACGTATATTATATTATATATTAATATTTTTTTAAGAAAATTATTATCTGGCGTTAAGATCTAAAAGTTTAATAATAAAACCCGATTCAAGTTCTTTTTTAAAAACGGGATTAAAATTTTAGCCAAAATAATATTATGTAAGCCTCGAGATTTGACAAATAGAGGTCGAAACCTTTTAGCCGTCTATGAGCAAAGTCTCTAAGCTTACATAATATTGTTTTGATTAAAATCTTAATCACCGTAAGCTAATCATTTTATCGGTGTTTACCTCCTAATTAAAGTTCCAAATAATTTTTTTGGAATTAATAACAAAAAATCAATCACAATCTTGGTTAAATATAAACGAGGGGTTATTAATTCTAACAATCACAATTTATAACCCTTATAAAACATTGAACCTTAACAAAATTAACTAACGATATAAGAATTCAACATGTTCAAATGAAATAGAATAAAATATAAATTTATAATGAAAATTGCAACCAATTTAATACCATTTTTTCCCCCACTCTATTATTAACAGTAATTTTTTTTAAAAAAAGAATTTTAAGTAACGTAATAATCCTTCCTTAATTACTAGAATTTTTTGTTAAACGTTTATTTAAATCATGAATGATAGATATTAGTATAGTTGGGTATTTACTATATTTTTAGCCGGCCAAAAAATCGGTTAAACCAAATTTTTAGCCGAAAACTATCATTTTGGCCTCGGCGTTTTTTTATAAAGGTGTTAGCTCAAATTTGGAGGAACTAATTTAAATTTAAACACCTTAATTTTAACGGATTTTCTCCGGCAAGCGCCTGAAGAATGAGCCGAATTAGCTGGTATTTTGCCATTACCCAACTATAGATATTAGCACAGGTACGATATGTAACTCATGCTTTTTATCCATTTAAATGTGGGTATCATAATTTACAGTTTTTGACTTTTAAATTTCTGGTACCATTAGAAAAATGCTTGCTAAGCGGAATATAACTGAATTGTTATTGTTTATTTTAAGAATAAAAAAAAATATATAAATGCTATAGTTAAAGAAAAGAGGATTTTTCCAAATATTGAACGATACGTACGTTACCGAAGATGCTGGGACTGGTATAGTTCAACAAGCCCCTTATTTCGGAGAGGTATATTATTAGAAATTATTTTATTTATGAGTTTAAAACTTTTTTTTTGTTGTACATTATTTTTTTTAATCAGCAACTCTAATTTTTGAAACTCAATATTGACTGAGGCATCAAGGTTTCCTAAAATTAATAAAAAGCTTATAAATGAGCTAAGATCTGAACTAGATTATTTTTTGAATATCGACAAATTATGCTACATACAGGATATTTTTATTTGCGATAAAAATTAAATTTTTGAATCTGTTATTGAATGTTTTTCTAAATATTTTAGAATGACTGCTATCAATATGTATAATGTTTTACAATTTACACTAATCAGTGATATCGAGTAATCCGTCACATTTGGTTACTTATATCCTATTCATGAAATTGTTTCTGGCATACCTTTTGTACGATTCACATTCTTAGTACTTGATCTGCATCGGACCTAATTTTTCAAGCCCGGCCTAGCCCGAAATTTTAAAAAATGTATCCTACCCTCCCTAATCCAAAACGATTTTTTTTTTTATTGTAATATTCTAAAAATAAAAAATATTAGCGACTTGTTTCTTGCAACAATTTTAAAATATATCAATTTATTTGACAAAAAATAATGATATCATTTTTAAAAACTTAAGGCCCAGCCCAAAATTTTTATAAAAATATAGCCATGATTTGCAGATCTCTATTGTAAATACCAGTTATACTTTTTAAATGGTTTTAGTTACTTAAAACTTATTACAATTACTCATAATTTTTTAAATTGTTTACAACGACTAGTTACTTTTCTAAAGTAATTGATTATAAAATAATGTTTTAAAAAAGACTTAATATGATATTATTTTCCAGTTATTATTTTATTTAAAAATAACAATTAATAGGACGATCACAGAGTAGCGATAGAAGGGGGCCTTATTAGTAAAGATGACGAGGATATAGTGTGTCCGGTCGATGACAGTGGTAAATATACCGATTTTATAACCGACTTCAAAGGGATGTATGTCAAGGTAAATTTTATACAAATTTATAATTTATAGTGGTATATGTGGTTTATTAATGAAGCCAAAATGCTTCATTTTTCAAATTATTTGTTGTAACACATTTCCATATATGTTATGTTATCTTATCTTATTTCATCATTTTTAAAAATCTGAAAAAAATGTTGAGAAAAACATATTATTTTTAAAAACATTTGGTAATTTTGGAACGTTAGAACTTCTAATAATTTTTTTAAACTTGTGATAATTTTAATTTTTTAAGGCTGCGTCCAAAATCTTAAAAATATAAATAAATAAAAAAATAAATTTTGAAGAAAAAAATAACAATCTATTTTTAATGAAAAAATAACATAAGCTATTTTTAATGTAAAAAAAATGATTTCCGATTTCATTTTCGGTATTTATTCAAAATTGATTTATTTTTGAAATTTTTATAAAAAATTAGTGATTACAATTTTTAATACTGTTAATTTTTATAAATTTATTAACCCAAACGTTTATAGCTGTTGCAACTAATGATAAGAGAATTTGAGGAAATAGTAAAATTACTGTAACTACTGATATGAGAACCTGATGGAACATTAACTAAACACAAATAATTAGGCAAACATTTTTTATTCTTTTATTTTAAAATTTTTCACAAAAATAATAATTACAATTTCGAAAACTTTTTTATAAATTAAAATATATATAATAATTTCAAATCCAAAAAAATTACAATTTTCGAAATCTTTTTATTAATTTTTGTATATGTAAAAAAATATATATCTTTTTTTTAAAAACATTATAAAATAATAATATTTTCGACAACATTACATAAAAAATCAATAATCTCAAAAATAAACATAAAAAATATATAATGTTACAACAATAGGCTTATATTAATATATTTTTTAGTATCAGAATATAATTTTATGGAAAGCATAAGAGTGCACAGGAACCCCTGGTACAAAAATGACTTAAAATTCAGAGATTCTGTTGAAAAGGAGGGAGGAAATTGAAAAAACATATAACCTGAATTATGATCACTATGTTCAGTCCTATCTTCAAATATTATATAATAAATTACTAATAATTCAATCATATCAAGCATTTAAAATATTTTTATTTTAATTTGTTTAAAACTTAAATATGTCCAAAGTGTTTTGTTATTAATTTGCGAAAATTTTAAAATTTTAAGGATTTTTTAAAAACATTTTGGACGCAGCCTAACATAAAAACTTCCAATAATTTTTTTTAAAATTTTTAGTAAAAATTTTTATTTTTTTCAAATGTCAAATTTCACTATAGCTAGTATTTTAAATCTATCTCAAGTTTCAGGTTTGTTAATTTAATATTCGATTATTTATAAATTTTAGATATAATTTTAGATGAACCTCATGAGACATCATATTCTCTCGGAGGTTTATCTGAAATAACGAATAGATACTAAAGTTATTTACCTATCCTATCGGTTCTTGGATGTCTAGCTGACATTACAAACCGATGTGAAAACTATTCAAATATTCACGAGCAATCTTTATTAGACCCATCAAATTTAGATCCTTAAAAAAATGGTATTGGTGCAAAAAATAATTAAATTGGCTAAATTATGACTGAGCAAACAAATTGATGATTAGCCCATTACAAAGACAAATACTGATAATTTAAAATTTTCTATTGGTTCAGTTTAACGCTCTAAACGGGAAGCTTTCCCTGAATATTACGATGACCCTTTATATAATTACATAATAAAATATAGTGGTCGAAAGAAAAAGGATAACAGAATTTTATTCTAATATTACTGAATTGTTTGGTAATGATTACTATACCATAAAAAGTCGCCATATTTAAAAATAGTGCTATTTCAAAATGACTCAAATCAATGGGACGGAGCCAGGAAAGGGTAGGAAAGGAACTCATAGAAGAAACTCTTAGACGTAATTCAAATTCGAACTTAAATGAAAAATATTTCTTTTGAAAATGTATTCTTCCTAGACGAAATACGGTTTAATACTAATATTATTTCGCACAATGGGTGAGCACCTTGGGGAAAAGGCCATCTGTTAAGTTACCTCCTTCCAAATGAAAAAATATATCAATAATATGCACAATAGGAATAGATGGACGGAAAAAATATACCATTATAGATGTGGCTTTCATGGCTATAAATTCAAAACCTACCTTAATGAGTTGACAATTTTACCATCGAATTCATTATTAATAATGAATAATGCTTCTAGTTACCGAGCGAGAATTATAAGTAAAAATAATCAAAATATCATATTTCTGCCACTTTATTCGCCACAATTAAATCCGATCGAAATTTTTTATAGAGTTATTAAAAATCAATACAGATCAAATTACCCCAAACAAATTAATAAAATAGGAGTTATTGCGACTACGTGTATTTTGAACAGTTATTTTATATTATGATTTTTCAATTTTATTCTCACTACAAAATTTATATAAGGTGGAATTCGATGCATTCCTTTAAATGATTAAATTTATAATTGATTTGTATTTTAATATTTTATTTACATAAAATAAATAATAAAAGGTTTTCTCATTTTGGTGTCTCGAATTGATAATAAAAATAAATCTAAACAAATAAATGAAGTCAAAATCAGGGATGTGAACCCGAACCCGAACCCTGAACCCTCGTATTTTGTCTGTACCCTAACCCAGACTCGGACCCTTTTTAAAAGTGGAGGATTCTAGGTGTCATAAAAAAAATTTTAAAATAGAAAATTTTTAAAAAATAATATAAATTTTTTTATTAACATTTTTTCGCGGAATCATTTATTTTATCTTCGCGTTTTTCTTTCAATTTTCTTCCTGGACTTCCATTTTATTTAGAGATTGATATCATAAATTTTTTTCTAGTGTAGGTAATAATATTTTATTTTGTAAATTTATTAATATATTTCCCCACAATATTGCATCAAATGTGCAGCCCTTACTCTACAATATTGGCTATTAATGACGCTTAAGAAACAATCACTTTAAACTATCATTATTTAAGAACTCCCACAATTGTAATCTATGAAAAAGTCAATGGCAATATTAGATTGCACAACACGTTGATCCTCAATTTGTTGGATGCTAGAACGATTATTAAGTTTGAAAGATTTCTGTAATGATTTTATTATAGTAGCATGTGAAGCTATTTTGTCGGAAAATGATTGGTGCCAAATAAAGGACCTTACTAGTGTATTAGTTCCTTTAAAAATAACAACATTAAGATTACGATCAGAACAATTATGTTTCTGATTTTTATGACATATGGATTAGATGTAGATTAGATTTAGAAAGATATACTAGTCCTTTTTCATACGAAATATTAGAAAACATAATTCGAGAGCAACAATATTTACAAAATAGTGTTATATATGCTTCTATATATATAGACCCTCGATATCAAGTTTACTTGAGTATTGAGCAAAACAAATGGCTAAAGCCCATCTTAAGGATTTATGGCACACGCAAAACTCCATTATTTACAATATATTGGAGGCTACGACAATACCTATTGGTTGTAGTGATAATAATAATGATAGCACCATTGATGATCTTGAAATTTTACTTTTCGATAGAGAAAAATAAATCAAATTATCATCAGATAGAAAGGAGGATCGAAAAATGCTTATTGCATCTTTAATAGTAAAGTTCTCAGAAGTTAAGAGAATAAATAAGGATATAAATATTAAAATTCTGGGAAGAAAATTCTTCAATATATCCAGAATTATATATCTTATCTAGAATCTTCATAGCTGTACCGGCGACACAAGTACAATAATTTTATAAAGATAACTATCTATTTTAGGTAAGGGTAGAACGTGAATTTTTATCTTTGAAATATATATTGTCTACTTTACGTGGAAATCTCAAGGATAATATTTTAAAAATACTATGATTGTGCGATTGAATAAAACATTTAAAATATAAATTATTTCATTTTTATATTTTTTATTTGTAAATTATGAATGTGTATATATTGAAGAATTATAATAAATGAATGAATGAAAAAAGGTCTTATTTTGTTCCTTGAACTCTGACCCTTTTTAAATTTTATTACTGTACCTGAACCCAGACCTGGACCCTTTTTTTTGTCGAAGGGTTCACATCCCTGGTCAAAATCCTAAATTCTAATTTGCCTGTTTATTAAGAAATTAATCTGATTTCATATCCTGATTTCCAATCTTAGATAACTAAAATTAAAATAATAATATAATTTGTTACTTAAAAATATATAAGTATTTTCAAAAAAAGATTATAAATTTTTTTAGATAAATTTATTTCTAATAAGAAAAAAAATTTTTTTATAGAAATTTGTTTTTAAATTCTCATTTTTCCTCTTGACTTGCGTCCAAAACATCAAAAAAACTATGTTCGAAAATTTTTAACATTTTTTTAAAAAAAATACTCATAACCTTAATGTTAGTAGTCATCCTTAAAGTTATAAAACTTAAACAAGTTTTGGGCTCGTCTTAAAAAAAATAATATTTTTTTTTTCAATAATTTTTTTTTTTTTTTTCAAATGCATAAATTTTTTAAAAATTTATATAAGAATGTTTTTAAACATATATGGAAATGTGTTACAACATATATTATAACTGTATATACATTTACCTTCTTTTAACATCTGCAGTAAAGAAAAATTTATAGCCCTATCCTTACTCCTAATTATAAATATCATTTTCTAAAAAAAAATTTGAGTTATTTAATTAAATAAAACTGACATCAAATGAAGATAAGGTGCAAAGAAAAATCAAGCTTAAAACAACTTTTGCTGTGTCTTATAACATTTGGCGTCATCGTGCTTAAATTGTAGTATCAAATTTGTCTTAAATGAACAAGTCAAGTCGACCTTTGATTATAAGAGAAATGCCTGTCTTAAAAATGGCGGAAGGTGTCATACTAAAATGGGCATTTTTTTGTAATACATTGAATATTAAGAAGCAAAGATAGTTATAATTTATTAAACATTAATAGAATGGAACTTTTATTAAGTTTCTAAAAGGAGCAAATTGATATTTTTATTAAATTTCTAAAATAGGCAAATTGATACTTTTATAACTTCCTAAAATCAGTTTTGGATTAATTGACTTTATTTTTGTTATCAAGAGCTATTTTGTTATATTTTAAACAAATTTAATCAAAATAATATACACTTTTGCTTATTTTATTATCTTAATTTTTTTTTCAAAATATCGAGAAATTTTAAAACCTAAATGAACTTTGTAATATTTTAAAACTCGTAAATGCCGTTAATAAATCACAAAAGAAGATTTTTTAAACTATATTATATACAATTTTGTTAGAACCGAGTTCTAGAAAATTTTATAGAGAGGTTCCATTTCCAAGATATTTTAAAAAGAGGTTTTGATTTCGGAATTATTTAATTTGATCAGGTTCAGATCTAATTGACAAGATATTTAATTACATTTTTGATAAAATTAATCTAAAACTAAAAGGATTTTTATATAAATTCAGTTTTGGGGGAATTTCTTAATGTATCAATTTTTTTTCTCTAAATTTTTGTGTTAGGACGCTGATAAATTGATCATAAAACGCCTCAAAGATGATGGAAGACTATTCCTGCAAGCAACGGTTAATCACACTTACCCATTTTGTTGGCGATCCGACACACCTTTGATATACAAAGCGGTCCCTTCCTGGTTTGTCAGAGTCGAGAGGTTCAAGCATTTGCTACTCGAGAATAACGCTCAGACTTATTGGTAAATCTTAATTATTTTTTTCCTTCCGATGAATAAAATTTGTCTATAAGTTAAATCAAATAACTTTCATTGATTGAGATAAAATAAAATCCTTGGTAAGGAAGGAACGCAATCAATGGATAATTGAGTCCGGAATATTTCAAATTATGAATTACATTTTGTGAATTTTTTTTACCCTTTATCGGCCCATATCACATACGTTTGTGTGTGTAGCATGAAGGTTAAAAAAAATTGAAAACCGGATTGAATCTTTGGTTCACGATGGCATGGACTTATTTACATGTTTATCTTCCTTTTCATAGGGTTCCCAATTTTGTGAAAGAAAAACGTTTCGCCAATTGGCTCAAGGAGGCTCGGGATTGGGCTATATCTCGTAATAGATATTGGGGAACTCCTATTCCTTTGTGGATTAGTGACGATGGTCAAGAAACGTATTGCGTTGGTTCTATATCTGAGCTCGAATCGATAACAGGAAAAAGTTTTAAGGATATCCACAGGGAAAAGTAGACATATGTTAATCTTTTTTTTTTAAATGAAGAGAGAGACAGCAGAAAATTTACCCAACTCTCACCTAATGTTTAAGATTAATTACAAAATAATTTTAAACTTAAAAAGATATATTATATCATATAAATGTTTTTTGTCAAGATAAACATTTTATCCCAAATTAATAATGTTTTAATTATTATTTTTTAATTAATAATGTTATAATTATTATTTTTTAAATTGAGTTTTTATTATATTTTCAAATTAGCATCTAACTATATTTAATTTGTTACATATTCTTGAAAGATTGATACTTGTGAAAAAAAATATTTTATAAAGATAGAATGGCCCGAAATTTTTATAAACCAGCCCGTTATTATTTCTTGTGAAGCAAAAATCATAAATTTACATTTTTCAAGGTTTCGAAAATTCCTGGGCAGTCAGGTCCGAAAAATATTTTGCACGAGTTGCCCAGTTCGATAATTTTTGTACGTTGGCCCACCGTGCATATTTTTGGGTACATTAGAGGTTGACACCTCCCAAAAGCTCGGTTCATAGGGCAGGCTGGAAAAAAAATTTTGGGCTAGGTTGAACCAATTGTTCAAAATATTTTTACAAGATGGGCCAAAGTTTTGAAATGTTTTTAGAGCTGATAATTAGGCAAATTTATATCGTTTTCTCTCTTAAAAAATTATTACGTGATAAAAAATTGGTATAAATCATGGGCCAGGCCACGTTGATCTCTAGTATACATGATGTGTTATTTCGTCTAAGTTGCATTTTTTTTGAATATTTAGAACTCTTAATTTAAACAAGTACGTATCTAATTATTTTTTGGTGCTACTTAATACCCTACCCATCTCAAGGTAAGATGAAAAAAAAATTAGATCTTTTTTTATTTATATAAACCTTATTGATTTTATTTTCAAAGCGTGGACTCCATCCACATTCCTAGCCTCAGGGTCGGTCATCCTCCACTCAAACGTGTGAATGACGTGTTTGATTGCTGGTTCGAATCCGGGTCTATGCCTTACGCACAACAGCACATGCCATTTTTTATCAGCGAGGCCTACTTTCAAAACCATTTTTTCCCCGCCGATTTTATAGCCGAAGGAATAGATCAGACCAGGGGATGGTAAAACTTTTTTTTGTTGAAAATTACAAAAGCTTCTACAGTATAGCGAATTATAAAAGAAAAAATGGCAGATCCTATTTATCCTTGATTTTTTCCTAATTATAAGTTGTCAAATTGCATCATCATCCTTATTAATTTTTATCATAATTTCTTCAGGATTATTATTCTTCTAATCCTCTATTCTTTATTCCACATTAATTGCACTCGACTGACAAGAGAGTTTTTCTCCAAACTAATGCGCTATTTTCCCTCTTTTAATTGGCAAGGATTTAAATCAGATCATAATAAATTGAACACGATTCACAGACCAGATACCAATTAGTTTTGATTTAAAACTCGCGATCCTTTCATTATTCAGATTCATGTTTCAAATATGAAAAACAAGATGGAAAATCAAGAAAAGAAAATTTTTGAACTTAATGATTCATAAGCCTGAAGGATCAATTTTATATCACTTTTGTATATATCAAAATAGGTTTCAATATTAACCAATATTATAAAAATGTCTTTAATCAGATGAACATTGAAATATATTTTTTTTTAGGTTTTATACATTACTCGTGCTGTCGACTTTGCTGTTTGGGCAACCACCTTTCAAAAATTTGATCGCTAATGGTTTAGTACTTGCTAGGTAATTGAATTTAAGTATTCCATTTTTTTAGTATTTTATAATGTATTATTTTCTAGCCGTTTAATGTTTATATAATAGCTTTATTTAGAAACCATGTTTACTTTCCCCTCGTTATATTTTGACTTTAATATCAAAATATCCTTAAAGATCAGATTTTATAAAAAATATTTGATTAATAATATAATTGGGCATTCTCATTTGTAATTATGCCCTCTGAATATTTTTTATTTTACCAAACTTCTATAATAATAATTCTTTTTAAAAAAACAAAATTAATTGCAACCGAAGTGATGGTCAAAAGATGAGTAAAAGAAAGAAAAATTATCCCGACCCCATGCATCTTATCGACAAATATGGAGCCGATGCGTTAAGGTTGGAATCATTTTTTAGTTTGATTTAAGTCCAGATTAATACTATAACAAGCCAAGGAAATGTCATAAAACCAAAATATCAAATAAGATATATAAGAGTCATAATATTATATTTTTAGCGTTGCTACTTTTTTACTCAGAGACTTTTTGGGAATCAAGTCGAAAATTCTTGCAACTTATATTTTAAAAAAATTATTCATAATTATGCGCCCAGCTCAATATTTCAGATTTTCTAAAAAATGAAGATTTTGTTTTGCGCTTTAAATGATTAAGTCAGGGATCCAGAACAAATGCATTTTTGTATTGCTCCCATTCTGGCCAAAAAAATATGTTCAATTCCATGTTTCGGAAACGCATTCTTAAAAATATTTAATTTTATTTCTACTTTGTTATATATCGTACCAATTTTACACTTTAGTCTTAATTAATACTCTAAAATATTATCATTTATATTTGTGCCATGGTGTTAATATAAATTTGAATATCACCTCTAAACACTAACTTAGTAACAATATTACGCATTTAAATTTAAATTTTTTATTATACAATATTTTATAATAAAACAGTTAAAATTATTTCAAATAGTGATTCAAATTTTTTTAAATATAATTTTAATTCTAAAAATCACATAATAATGCTAAATATATGCAGCAAGCTGGAATTAAGAAAATAAAAAACGATTTTGTTAATTATTAATAAACTAAATTTTTAATATTGTTTTCTGAAAGCTCCAAAACTGTTTTGCGAACGTTCCAGGGCATAATCTTTCCCAAGTTCCGTTCTCATAACTTCCCTGGAACGTTCCGTCTAAGTATTTGGATTAAGGCAATAGATTGAGTTCGACAATATAATAGTAAATAAAAGTTACTTATTATTAGGGCTGTGCCGATATTAAATATCGGATCGGATCGGTCCCGATATTTGGCGTTTTTCAAAAATATCGGATCGGCCCGATACCTGTAAAAAACCCGATCCGATCCGATCCTTTTACTAAAAATGCAATTCTTATAAAACTTTTGAGTAATGAAACTTTGAATTATTATTTTTTAATAAAAAAAATTTTTTTTAAATATTTTAAAAAAAATAAATTTTTTCGAGTTTCTATTTTACATTAATAATATTTTATAAATAATTTTTTTTTAAACAATGCAAATGTTATTTATTTTTTTAAATAGATTTTACAAGTTTTTTTATAAAAATAGAAAGGAACACCCAAAGTTTTATTTATTTTTAATTTTTTAAAAAAATAACACCAATTTTATTATTTATACTTTAAATAAAAATTATTTTAAATATGGTTTCTGAATTATGGAAATATTTTGATAAAGATGAAGGTAATTTTGCAAAATGCGTCATCTGCGGAATTCTAATTTCACGGGGAGGAATACTGAAAAATTCGTTCAATACAACTAACATTAGGAAACATCTGAATCGTTGCCATCAAAAGGAATTCGAAGAGCTAACACAAAAAGAACGAGAAATATTAGAAAAAAACAAATCAAATTTTAAAAAAAAGAGCCCTGAAAGTCAGCCAACAATATCAGCCATTCTTAATAAAACTAATATTTGGAAACATTCTGATCCTAAATCAATAATAATTTCTAAATTTATAGGGGAAATGATAGCGTGTGACCACCAGCCGATTTCTATCTTGGAGGATATAGGCTTTAAAAGGCTTTTACATCATTTATGTCCAAATTACAAAATTCCCAATAGAAAGTATTTTTCGCAAGGAGTTATTCCGGATATATATGAAAAACTCTCCGAAAAAATTCGTAAAGAAATTTTGGTTGACGATTCTTTTTTATCCTTTACGGTAGATATATGGACTAGAAATTTAGGTAGCGATTCTCACATCTCATTAACATGCCACTATATAAACCAAAATTTTCAACAAATTAATAGAGTTCTAAATGTTAAAACATTTAATGAGTCGCATACAGCAATAAATATTGCTCAAATTTTAGATGAAATTATTAATTATTGGGGTATAAAGAAAAATAAAATACACCTAATCATTAGAGATAATGCACCCAATATAACTTTGGCCATGAAAAATGGGAAATTTCAAAGCGTTTCGTGTTTTGCACATAGTTTGCAATTGGTTGCACAGGCAGCAATTTTATCACAGAGATCTATTATTGACATGCTTGCCCGGGTTAGAAAAATAGTAGGACACTTTAAACATTCTTCTATTGCACAAAATTGTCTAAAAGAAATCCAAATTCGATTAAGTCTAGCCCAGCACAAATTAATCCAGGATGTGCCCACCCGTTGGGATTCTACCTATTATATGCTCGAAAGATTGATAGAACAAAAAAGGGCGGTACAGCTGTTCATTATCGATAATCCTAATTTGGGAAATCTCTCATTATATGAGTGGGAATTAGCAGAAAGGGTAATTGATGTTCTTGAACCAATTCAGAGAGTAACAAAAGAAATAAGTACGGAATCATGTTCAATTAACAATGTTATACCCTTTGTTGAAATTCTGAAAAGTGAATTAACAATTAATGGGGACACAGATAGAGGTGTGCAGACTATGAAGAATACCACTAATAATCAATTAACAACTCGGTTTTTTGATATTTATGATGATGACAATTATGTTGTCGCAACATTACTTGATCCTCGATATAAGGATTTCTTTTTGCCAAAAAACATATCATACATAGAAAAGCTCAGGACTGCATGTGAGTCTTTTTTTAAAGGTGATGATAATGTTCAACTTCCAATTTCTAATAAAGATTCGCCAGGTTTTATATTTTTTAAAATAAATTTAGATTTTATTGTTAACTTAGGTAATGACAATGAGAAAAATGTTCCACATAACATTAAAAAATGCAAATTTAATTTAAGGGATGCTTATAAATTGAAAATCAAAGAAAAACTAGTAATATATGAAATCGATAGTAATGTAAATGATGACCTGCCATACCTAATAGAAATCAAGGAATATTTAAAAGAATCTTTATATATAGAAAGTATGACAATATATTTTTCATATTAATTTAAATATTGCTTGGTTGGGCTATGATTGACCCATTTGTTTGGGTGATTTTTCAAAATCAACAAAAGATCACTATTTTATAAATGCTAATTTTATATTTGTGTTATTTATTTAGAAAACTCGAATAACATTGATGATATTAATATTATATCCCCAGTGAATCCACTTGAATATTGGAGAGTTAATGCTGTAAAATTTCCAACTTTATCAACACTTGCACGTAAATTTTTGGCTCCTCCAGCAACAAGTGTCCCATCTGAGTCTGCCTTCAGTACGGCATGGGATATTGATAGTCCTCATCGTAGAAGCCTATTGCCTGAAAATCTATAGGCTCTTATATTTATTAAAAAAAATCTAATATATTATAATTTTATATATTAAATATTACAATTTTATAAACCAACATAAAATGGATATATTATTATATATTTTTTTTAAAATTATTGTTGAAATAAAAAAATTAAATTATGCATAATTCTTTTATGCATAAAAAATATTGATTTATTAATTACATTTAGTTCAAAGAGGGGTGGTAAAAAATTAATATAAATATCGGATCGGTATCGGATCGGGTTTGAACCAATATCGGAAAATATCGGATCGGTAAAAAATATGTGGATCGGCACAGCCCTACTTATTATTAAGATAGTCTAATTAGTATCATTTTTATAAAAATTTATTTTAATATTGAACTTGATTGAAGCTTTAAAAAAGTGTTAAATTAATGAAATTTTGTATTTATTTTATATTAAAGATATAAGAATTTTTTTTTAAAACTGATGTTTGCATAATTCCCTGGCATTTTGTTGCCTTGGAAATGAATGATTTCTAATTTTTTACGACAGAATTTGTTATCAGACTTAAGTGCTCTAAGTCTTACGACATATACACTCCTTGATTAAAGAGGTATTACATTTTAAATCTTTTGAATTTAAAATGGGGGAAAAATTATTCAGGCTTTACTTGATCAATTCTCCGGTAGTGAGAGGAGAATTTCTGAAATTCAAAGAGGAACACGTGTTTGATATACTCAAGGAAGCCTTCTTGCCATGGTACAACGCCTACCGATTCTTGGTCCAAAATATAGAGCTTTGGCAAAAAGTTGATTGTTTGAATAATATTTTCCATTTTGTATATTATAGATTTTTATATAAAAAAATTTTAAATTCACAAAATACTTTTTATTTAGTTTTACAAGTATTATTTCTTTCTCATTTATGATAGATTTTTTCTTTTTTTAAAGTAGAAAAGGATCTTGTATATTCTGAATTAAAAATCCTCATGGTAGATCCTTTATATTGTACGGGACGGGGAGGGGACTATAATTTTTACAATATTAGGTACGCTGGTCAGAAATAAAATGAGAGGATTAGATGACGGAATAGAGAACCCGGTCCATGTAGTGGCTCGTCATTATAAGAACCTATTAGAATAGTGAATTTGAGAATCTAAACAAAAGTCATACAGATTAAGGTACACATCAGGCTAGTAGGTTTCTGTCTTTTATTTTAAATAGTAATCAAAAGTGTTGCAGGTTATAATAAGCATGGCCAGATTTAATCCATAATAAAAAAAGATTAAATCTACAACTAAAAAATAAAATTATATTATAAAATGTATGGTATCTAGTACAAGCTTCAATGACCGACTTTATAAAATCTATTATATATATATATATTGATATATGTTAGCGTCAATGTGTTATCTTTTCAACTTTAAATCATTTTTTGAGCGCATTTTTAAAAAATTTAAAAATCTGATTTTACCGGAAATGTATTCCATCATGTTTGGAATACTTACCCTAAGAATTTCAGACAAGTTTTTCATAAACTTTTAAGCTTAATATAATTTATATTCGATTTTCTATATATTTTTTATATAAATTATAAATGATTCAAAGGTTAACGGCAAAATTGTCTATAATTCATAAGAGAGGTATTCCAAACATCATAGAATATATTTCTGGTAAAATCCGATTTTTAAATTTATTAAAACGGACTCAAAAAATGATTTAAAGTTGTAAAAATAACACATCGCCGGAAAAAACATATTGACGCTAACATATACATAATCACAATCATACGGACGCAATCCATTCATAATATATTTTACTAGATGTATATAACAATTATAATATCATTACAGTAACAGTATCACTGGTCTTTTTTTGTATCATTGATTAGTTTTATGAACTTACATATCCATAAGATAGTGGTTTTATTGTTTGTCATTTATACATTGTGAAATTTCTGTGGAAGTGGAGGTGGGGGGGGGGGTGTGGTTATTACGTTATTAAGGGGTGTTTATCTCAAAAGGGGATGAACCCATAGATAGTTATAGTTTTGGGCAATGTTAAGGTCGAGAGTTCAAAACTCGTCTTAGCCACTGTTAAGCTTTTTACGCTATCAAAATCATTAATTTACTTAATTTTCAAAAGTATAAAATTTTTATGCAATATATATCAAAATACACATATCCATCACCTTGGGTGGTAAATTGTATTGATTTCTTAATAATTTAAATCAAAGATCAACATAAAGATATGCTTTATTTCTTGGACATAATTTTAGGAATATGGACATCTTGAGAGTACGGTAATTAAAAGGTTATATAAGAAAACAATATTGATGTATTTAATTGTAGAAGCAGTGTTTTTTCTAAAGAAGTTGATCATAAGTCATGGAATAAAGGTGCTAGATGTTTATTGTAGATTATTAATTATCTTGGGGTTTCACACTTTCATATATTGGTAAGTCTGTTCTGTACATCGAATAAGATAGATTATCGAGAAATAAGTATTCATTGACAATAATAATAATCAACAGCTGAATATGTGAATTAAGATATCATTAAATTTTGATTATAGAGTAATAAAAAGTTTATCGAGGACGTGGCCAAGCAGTTATAGTTGTACAAAATAGTCATTGAGTTAATGGTAGTTAGATGTTTATTGTGTGATTATCAATTATCATGTTTTACACTAACTTATAATTTCGTTAATCCGTTTAGTAGATCTGATAAGATGGATTATGGAGAAATAAGTTTTCATAAACATAATAATTTAAGATTTAATTAAATCTTGATTATTAGATGCGGATGAGCCCTGTACAGTTCGTCCAAAGCCCGAGCAGTTTGGGTAGGGCTCCAACATTGAAGAATTTTTTCTCAGGCTCGGGGAGGCCCGAATATCCTAAATAGTTGTCTCATCGAGCCAATCAGAGTAACATGGGATTTTTGATTTAACATATATCACTTATTCATGTTCATAATTTCCATTTCTCAAATTAACAATTTCCTATGATTGTGATTTGTATTGTGACTACTTAAAAAATGCTATTATTTATGTGCATTATTTTCTATCGTTAGATAAAATTTTTATATTTTACATTTAGCCAAAATAAAATTTAGAATATTACTCTGTTATAACAGGTATGGAATTTTTCATTAATAATTTTCTTTTTATCTATTCAATTAAATAGCCTCAGATTTTTATATTTATAGAATGAATCCAACTTTAAGAACAATTTCATTTTTAAATTTTCCTTTGATATTATAATATTTAAACTTTCCAATTTAGTCTGGCTGAAACAAAATATTTGTGCTCAGAACGGGCTCGGACACAAATTTATTTAATAGGTTAAAGACCGTGAAAAAAAGACTTTGCAGAGCTTTAGGTGCGGATAGATGTCTTTTGTAATTTTCATGCTTAAAAAATTTTCAAAGATTTTAGCTTAAAAATTAGAATATATTTCTGATAATTTAATAATTAAATCTAAATTAATTTTATAACATACCTAACGAAATTTCCAGTGCACTGGGTTGACCTACACCTTTAGCGATGGCAATTCGGAATTTAAAGTTAGTAACAATATAATGGACCTTTGGATATTGTCCTACACAAATAGCCTTATTCAATATTTCTACACCGAAATGGAAAGTTAAATTTTTATTATTATTATTTATCATAATTTTGTTCCTAGTTTTAAAAAAAAGATATTATTTTCTTATATATTTAAGATACCATTTCCTAATCTTTTTGCATGAATATATATAATTTTTATTATAATTAAAAGACAGAGTTATTGCACTCTCAATGGCTCTTTGATATAATATCATTTATCTTGATTATTTTTTTATTAATATATTTTACTCGATTTTTAAACTTGAAGGGGCTCATTTTTTTAAAATTTTTAATATCAGCAAAAATCTCTAAAATGAACAAAAAAAAAGAAAATTCTATCTAAAATTAGCACAAAAGAGGTACTATATTAAGAAAAGTTGCAAAATTTTTAAGCTTTTCAAGGTTTTCAGGAGGCCTGAACCCATGTGCACCCTTTTAATGACGTGAGCACTGATTTATATGAATACGACTGACCATATTTTCTATATCTCTATTGCCCTAATTGGATTTTTATCTAAACATATCTTTATCTAATATATTTTAATCAAATATATCTTAAGTGAATACAACTTCATAATATATTTGCTTACAGAATATCACTTATTCACAGTAGTTCCAAAACTTATGAAATTCATTGATAACTTAACAAATTGGTACGTTAGATTCAATAGGAAAAGGCTTAAGGGAGAAAATGGAGATGAGGACTGTAAATTGGCGTTAGATACCTTATTCACAGTCATATTCAGTCTTTGTAGAATGATGGTAACATAATATTGATTATTTTTTACAATCAATAGTTTTATTATACTTTGTATAACGATATATTTTAAAAAAAATTAGACGCATTTTGTTTTAAATTTCAGAAATTAATTAATTCTTCTCTATGACGATATATCTTTTTTTGTTATAATGATATAATGTTACTTTCATTGTTTGATTATGTAAAAACCAGGCTCCATTTACTCCATTCCTCACGGAATACATGTACCAAAATTTGAGGAAAGTTATTCAAACGGAACAAGGCGAACGCACTTTGAGCATACATCATCTCATGCTACCCAAAACCAAGTTTGCTTTTATCTTTTGATGTGTTACCTCTCGTCATGGCAGTAATTTTGAAGAAACCTTTTACATAAATATCAAATTTAATTTTCTGGTGAATTAGCTTTTTCCCTTTTCTAGCGACGTTATTATCAGAGTTCTGGCCCTGACCACGGTTCAATATTTTCAAAATTATTTATTTTATTAGACACAAATTTTACCTATTTCAATACTATGCATTAAATTTAAATTTTCATCAATAGCTTTTATCTAATTTATTTCGAAATAATGATAAATAGTAAATATTTGCCACCTCCTGATTTTTTTTAACTTAGCTTATTTTTTTAATTCATTTTATAATTGTATAATCAGGCAAAAAAGGAAGAAATATCGGGCCATACGCCAGACTTATATATATTTTATTTACCTCGTTGGTGGACTTGAGCCAAATATTTCTTTCCGATTTTGTAACTCTAATTCTTATAAAGCTTATGAATTTATGATGATGAGGCCTTTCCACTGAAGAAAATGGGGAAGGAATACCCAGAATTAGTACCACCAATGAAGGATATTATATTAGACAAAATATTCCACTAGAGGTCTGTTCTTAAAGTCACTTGCATATTCACAGCTCTGGGTTGATCTCTTTTTTATTTTTACCTTTTTTTATAAAAAATCATCTATTTTCTTTTTTAAATTATGGTTTTAATGTTATATAGTTATATTATAGTGGAAATCTTAAATAAAATATTTGAATATCAAACAAATTCTTTTATTTTTATTGCGCTTTGGTATAAAATTGTTATTAATTTATGATAATGAAATAGAAAGAATGATGTGCCCAATCCCCTTTAAAGTGGCCGTTTTATAATGCTGCTTTTTATTCCCTAATTTATTAGTTTTGTATTTATTACTCCGATATTTATTTTATTTATACATGAAATTTTCAGTGGCTTTGGACTTTATTTTAGGGGTCTGAGCAAATGTATTTTTTACTTTCCCTTCCAATTCCAGGAAAATTCTTGGGCAAATATTTAAATTAATTTTTATTTTATTAATCATTGTCAATTATTAAATTTATAAGCATTCCATATATTCACTAAAACGTTATTTTTTATATTTGTGGAGTGTGTTAAAATAATTGAATGTGGAAAAAAAATCCCTTCCATCACTAACTTAGCAACATGATTGTCCATTGAAATATAAACCTTATATTTTATATAATATTAAATTTATAATAAAGAAAATGATGACTTAAATCCATATAATTGGTCCTTTTATAAAAATCTTGCATTTTATTTTCAAATATTATCATCTGAAAGCAAACTAATTTTAAAAAACAAAAAAAATTAAATGTTAAGATTCATTATTTTTCTAAACGTTCTGGTACTGTTCCATGGAAATTCCAGAATGAGCTTTCTCATTTTTAATTAAACTCCCATCCATGTTCATTTTTTATTCTTTCATCCATATCTCAAAAAACATTTTTAACGCGATACTAATTAACATTTAAAGTACATATTTGAATTTTTTTTAATAAGAATTATCAAGGAATAATGCATCAAATAAAGATTTACTTACTTTATTTAGCCTGAAAATGATCAACAAAGATATTGAAAAATCGGTTGAATGCATGCAAACAGTAATAGAGCTAGGTCGCTTGATAAGAGATCGAAAAAATATGCCTATTAAAGTTTATTTTTACATAAATATTTTAATTCAATAATTATATGAAAATTAAGAAAAAATTATTTTCATTTACTTATTGTTTGAACTTTATAAAAAGCATTTCTTTCATTGTTAGGCTTAATAATAACAACAATAATAAAGATGTTTAAAGAAACATATCTCAATTTAAAATCAAATTGATTTTATTTGCCTTCACCCTTGCTAAAATGCAACATCACTTTAAACATGTTCCTTTAATTAGTTTATCAAATACTAAATATTTTATTTGTTATTCAGGTTCAATTTGATCGAATAAAATTGATTACTACAAAAAACTATTAGTCTTAATGCTATATAAAGTCTTATTCACTAAATTTTTTCATAAAAATAACCCAACCATTAAAAAGTACCCGCTGAACGAAGTGGTTATAATACACGATGACCCAGATTTCGAGAAAGAGATTTTATCGCTGAGGCAGTATGTCATCCAAGAACTAAATATAAAAAAGGTGACCCTGTCCCGAGATAAAACCGCTTATGGAGTTGGCATGAAGGCGGAACCCGACCACAAATTGCTAGGAGCCAAATACAAGACTCAATTTAAAGCTTTGGCTAACGCTGTCAAGGCTATGAGTTTAGTTTAATATTTATGAAACCATTATTTTAAAAAAAATTATTTATGAGTTGTTTTACAAATTTAATTAATTTGACCCTTTGGATCACTAAAATTAAATGATATATGTTTTGAATTTAGTAGAAAAAATATTACATATAATATATATAAATATATGTGAAAATTTTTTTTCTTAAAAGTTTAATTGATGTCTTTATGGCTTTTGGAGAGTATACGGAATATGATATTGTTGACCATAATAACTTGATATTTTGACCTTTTTAAATATTATCATCTAATATTAATGACAGGGACTGATTGGCCAGTAAGCCTTATGAGGCCTCGATTTAAAAATTGGGTGGGGGGCAGGACGAAAAAATATTTATAAAATTGGCTAAAAATAGTAATCTTGTAAAAAATTTAAAATATTTTTTTTTACTAAGCAAACAACTTTTTAAAGTAACTAGTTACCAGTTAAATATTTGCAAAAATATTACTGTATTTTTGAAATGTAATAACAAAAGTAACTCTTTATCTTTCAAATAATATTTAGAATATGTTAAATATTCGTAATCTAGTCACAGTGAAACTTTTATCACAAAACACTTTTTAGCTAAACATATATTTATTTGTAAAAAATTTAAAAATTAAAGAGAAATATAACTGAAGAAATACAAAAATGTATAGAAATTTCTAAATGAGGTTATCATGGGAGGAGGCAGACCGTCTTAAATTTTTGGAGGACTTATCGAGATTTCTCTTCTGATGCACTTTTGAATAATGATATTTCAAATTCCTAATAAAAAATAAATAAAATCCTAAAAAAATTGAATAATAAATTTATTCCTCAAAAATTCTTTTTAGATATATTTTTTAAACTCATATTTCTAGACGACGAAAGTTGAAGATAATATTTTTTTTAAAAATCATTTTTATGTAAATTAATATCTAATACATTATATAGCCGAAACCGACATAATAAAACTACAAAAGGAAGGCTCCATCGAACTCATACCCAATTGTCATATAGTTCCGAACGAGATCAGAATTTTATACTCTTTTCATTCCAATGGCAATTCCGATTCTGAAATGGCTTCTAATATCGAGAATAAATACGAGGCTTCTTCTCAGGGTGATCTACTCATCCTGTTGGACATATCACCTGACGCTGATATGCTGAAAGAAGGATATGCCAGGTTCAGATTTTATTTAAAGTCATGTGGAATTAAGATTAATTTTAAATTTTGAAGTAAGCTTGATCTTACTTAATAATATTTTCGAATATATTATATCAGTTTCTTATCATTACCAAAGGACACGTTTTTATGATAAATGTATAATAAATAGGGAAGTCGTCAACAGGATTCAAAAATTGCGTAAACGAGCCAATCTCTTACCGCTCGATGAAGTAACCATACATTACATGCTCATTAAGGATGATCCGCTCATAAATATGGCTGATATATTGAATACCGAAAGCAAACATCTGGAGTTTATAACGGACGCTATAAAACGAGATTTTAAACCTATAGATGAATACGCTAATTCTGAGAAGGAAAGGATTATAATCGAAGAAACTGTTCATGTAAAATTGATTTTTGTATGAGTTTAATTAATTTTCTTCAAATAACCTTTGTTATCCTAATCATTAGTTTTGGTGATGACTTTTTGAATTAATATTTAATCAAATATTAACAGCTTGCCCTAAAATACTCAGAAAACCTATTTTTATACTTCTGAAATAGACACGGAATAAAAAAAATAATTTTATCTTCAATAAATAAATTAAAAATGTTCCATAACTAAAATCTGCATTAAAATAAGTAACTTTTTATTTAAGATAAAAAAATATTTAAATTTTAAATGGATATGATACATTTTCGTTATTTAAAAATTAAAAAAAATAGAACAATTTTTAATTATGTATTTTAGATATCACATTCCAGATTATTATTTAACATTTTTATTGTTGATATATGTTGCAGTAGTAAAATTTATTTAATTCTTACTTTATACATCAATAATTTTAATAAGGTCTGTGTTTACCATTGTAATTTTTTTAATTATATCAAAATCATTGATGTTATTTTGATCATTATGATCATTATCCCCATCTTAAAAACGGTATTTTCGTTAATTAATTTTGATAATCAATTAGGAATTATTTGATATTTCCCCTTTCTATAATTTATATTGAACTCATTACCGGCTAATCACAAGGCCTATTTTTGTAGCCTTGGTGACATGTATAATTTCACCGGATGTGCCCCAAATAAATTAACAAGAGGTTTGTGATTTGTATAAATATCAAAACTCCTACCGATTAAATATTCTCCATTTTTATCATAAGTTAATAAATAATATTTAGCCCCATTTATATATCAAAAAATATTTCATCCTTAGTTTTTTGGAAATTTTGAAACTGTCATAAACGGTGACCTATTGAATTGAAATAGACCTTTGAGTAGCCACTGTTAGAAATTTTAAAGTTTCTATAGAAACAGGTATTTGCAAATAAGCTGAAGAAAAATCTATTTTCGAAAATAACTTTTTTCAACCTTATCAATAATATCAATTATCCTATGTAGAGGATATTCAAACCTTTCTAATTATAGATTTACTGTAAGTCTGCACAATATAGTAGGAGATAGAACTGATTTATTGGAAAAAAAAATAATTTTGATGGAAAGTATACATAGACCACTATTAATCAGTTGAAGATTTGTTTTATTAGTAAACATATAAAATTTTATTATTTTTTTCTATAAATTAACAAAATTCAATTTTGCTCTATAATTACCTCAAGATCAAAGGGTGTTCTTTACATCTGGCAATAGTTGGACCCTCTAATTTAATCGCGAAAGATATTTCAAAAGACACTAAGCTAGAATCGGTGACACCTGATATTCCGAAAAATATTACAAATGGTTGCTTAAACATATCTAATAGCAACCTTGATGAAAAAGAAACGTTGCAACAACCGTACGTCAAATATTTTAACGTTTTGTTTTGTATCTATTCAGCCAAGCAAAAAAGATACGATTATGATATTATTGATAAAGCTGTCATATTAACTTCTCGAACATTAACTAAAGACCGTATAGAAAAAAATGTAAGTTTTTCTTTAATTTAACTTTTTTTTATCGCCTTGCATTTATATTTTTTTAAATTAGTGTTTACATAAAACCAGCATATAGTTATTTAGTATTTACCATGTTGTGTGTTTTGGAAACTTAAATATTAATTTTACTGCAAAATATATTTGTACAATAATTATTACTTAAGAAAATTAACTTATATATATCTCGATCTATTCTTAACTACATTTATTAATAAGTTTAGCATGATAGCAATATTTTTGTATTTATGAAAATGCATTCATATCAGTTTATTTAGTATACCGTAATTGACATCAGAAATATACAGAATCAAAGCTTAATAAATGCTGATTCTGAAAATTTTATACATTTTTTGAAAATGATTACAATACATTTTATTTGAACTACACCGATTTTTTTTCCGCTCTTAAAATGGCTGGATTATAAATGTGTATATCACAGAATTGTCAGCTAACTTTTTATAGATAGACATCTTAGAATATCGATATAACATTAAAACTTTTTATAATAAAAAATTATTAGAAGAATAGCCGATCCAAAATTCCTTCAAAATGTGATCGACAATTCTTAAAATATTTTTGCTTACTAACTTATTTAAAGTTTTATTAACATTCCAAGATGACTATGCATTAAGATTTAACAATTAATAAATTTATAGCTTTAAAAAACATAAAATCTTATCTTTTTAAAATTTTACCATTGCAAAATTTAAAAATAATATATGTCATATTTGATTAACTCCTGCTTCAAATATAAATATTATATAACTTGTGTAGTAAATTGGAATGATTAAAAATATATTTAATTTTAATATTTTATAAGTGGTTTCCAATTCATATCATCCTTCCTGAAAAGGCTAGAAAATATGGAACGCTATAATACTAAATTTTTATACAAATTACTACATAAAACAATATAATAATGTGAATAAAAATAATTATAGATAATTTTTTCATATTTTTTTGTTGATATTTGAAATAGTTCGGAAAAATGATTTATTTTGAAAAAACAATTTTGGTAGTGGACATAGACCATACTCGCACGACAATATTGTAGAATGATTTTTCAATTGTTTTATTTAACCCTTTGGAATAAATTTAGGAGTAGTGAATAAACATACATTTTTTAAATATAATATAAACTTACTTAATTATTATTATGGTTCTTTTTTCTATTAAGATTCGTACCATCGCAAATTCTTGGGGTCATAAGTTGGATATATTTTTCTTTTTTCCCAATATACCTCAAAATTCGTTAGCTCGTATCAATCCAAAATCTTTATATTCAGAACTAAACTCGAGCGTTTTAACCCAAATATTTCCCGAAAATATTAATAAAGCTTCTACATTTTCAATCGTCCCTTGGGCATTTATGTACGATGACATATTAAAAGCGCTTTCTGAAGAAATTAAGCATAAGTGTTTAGGAAATATTCTAGTTTGCTCGAAAAGTATCAATTCAGATGCCTCCCATATTAAAAGAGTATCGGGGGATATTAGTGAAAAGGTGATTGGTGTGCAATCGCTATTAGTTGAAGCAAAATCACCTTTATGTCAATTCGTTAATATACATTTAAATGGGGGCGACTTGAAAGACGTTAATCGTAAATATACTTTGCTGAGAGAGAATCCTAAAGGAGTTGCTACACTATCAAACCATTACTTGGATGAGAAACGTTTCATTAACGATATAGTAATTTTATAACTATTCTTTATTTTTTCTACGAATATAAACAATATATATGAAGACTGACGTTTCTCTGGTCATATACTATTATTTTTATTTATTCTATTTAAATGATGATTTTATAAATAAAATCGTTTACAAAACAATAATAATCTATAAACTATTATGATATATTTATTTATTATTTAAAAAATAATATAATTAACTATTACACTTTAATTTTAAGTTGTGCAATATTACCGGCCTTGGTCCAGAAAAATTGAGCCTGAGGAAAAACGAGGAGGAAAATATTTACGTGCTAAAGAATTTGAACCAACTAAATGTTGATTTGTCCCATAAACTTCTAAACGTGGACTATATGTCATGAATTTTATCTATTATATTTTAATGCATTTTATAGTGTAATAAATTTTTTGGATAATGAAATATTTAAACTGTTATAACTTGCATTTGGTTTTCTACATATTATACATTTTCAGCAAAATCTATTTTTAAAAACGCGCTCAAAAAAATGATTTAAATTTGAAAAAATAACACATTAGCCCTAAAACTGAATATCGATTTATTTAAAGAAATGACAGTTTATATTTTATAGCTATTTTTGGTTTTCTATTTCACTAATAAAATTTAAATCATGGTTTTAAGTAAATTATTTTTTGAGATATTAAAAATTAAATGGGGGTTGTATTCTGGATTTTCGGTTTTTAAAGGCGAGCACATCTCAGAAAGTAAACCAAGTTGTAAAGATAAATTTTAATAATTTACTAATGTATAAATTTTCTGTCACCTTTTAAATATAACGATTATATTATTTTATTTGCTCATTTTATGTAATTCATTTCCTGTCGACTATATTTATGAGTTTTATATGATTTATTTCCTCTTGGCTTATATTGTTCAATGATGGAAAACCCCCTGTAACGTCAATATCCCTGTACCTTATATGTAGCGGCTGCCGTCAGATATGACGGAGTTTCACTCCTAAATAATTCAAAAGGTATCTCATATCGTGCACAATCTCTTGTCTAAAACTTTCCTATACACAGGAATCATTCGAATAATAGCCCAGATTCTATTAATTACCTTTGTATATAATTTTATTGAGGTTATTTTTTTCGGCGGCCAACCCGCTTTATTTTATAATCAGTCTACATATATCAAATGCTACGTTCTTCTGAAGCAACTATTGCTATATATAATAAAATATGTCGCTCCTGAAGTAAATATTACTACATATAATATATTTTTGATATTTTACAGATTATTTTTGTCATTTTAAAGTGTTTTATAACAATCTATGGAATTCATTTCCACCAATACCTTATTTAGTTAACTCATTTCTTGTCCAAAGTTATCTGAATCTATTATCTTATTTTCACATATTTCATACAATTTAAAAATAAATATCTAATTCAATTTTTCTCAGAATAAATAATTAATTTTAAAGTATGTAGTAATTAACTTGGTGTAGCAATTCAGATTTCATCTTTTTTTGTAAATGTTAGGTCCAAAAAATATTTTAATTATATGGAGGACTACCATAATTGTTTCTCATGGAACCTTTTCTGTCACCTTTACTTTCCCGCGCTTCTTTTTAATATATATGACATGTTTTAAATTATTTTTTGGTAATCGAAAGAAAAAGGTAATATTTTTTATAATATTGCTTTGGAGATTTTTTTATAATAATATATTTTTTTGAATCAAAGAAATCTAAATAAAATTGAGATTTTCAAAAATGTTATCTTTTTTCTTCTTTCCCTTGTTTAAAAATTTATAAAATTCTCTTTACAGACCTCTTCCATTTTTGCCATCTTATCAATAATAACGTTGTCTTTAATAATAACAGATCATCAATATATAATATTATATATAATGTGGAATATTTTGATTAAATATTATTTTTATAAGTTAATTCACTAATTTAGTATAAAATAAATTTATTAATTATAATTATCGTTTTTAAATATACCTGGGCGGATCTAAAAAAATTTTTTTATATACCTAGGCCAGGATGTATATTTTAAATCGCCACTATTAGCTATAAAGAACAAAATGTAATATATTTTTCAAAAAACCGGGCCAGACGGAAAAATTTATTTTAAAAAAAATCTGGGCCAGTCCTAAAATATAAAACCTAGGTCCGGCCAAAAAAAAATCTGGTAGGCCAAAATTTTTTTTAAAAAAGAATCCGGGCTGCGCAATGCAAATGGTACTTCTGTTAGGCCTCTGATAATAATATTAATTCAATTTAGTGATAGATTGTATTAATTTAAGAGGAAATTACACTTGTAAGATTTCATGAATTAAACAATTAAGATAAGTAAATTTTCCCAGTGAAGTTTAATATATTTAAAATGGCAAATTAGTTGCTGCCTATTATGCGATCATGATTAAACGTTAATTTAAGACTAGTGCATTTAAACCAGAGACCTGCAGATCTACAATTTGAACGGTCAGGCCCGGATTTTTTTAAAAATAATTTGCAGGCCCGACCCAGGTATATTTAAAATAATTAAAATACTGCCCGGCTCTAAATCCGGGCCTGCAACACTCTGATTTAAACATAACAATATTTAAAAAATTATTAAAGAGGTCGAATATTTTGTATGCGATCATGATTAAACGTTAATTAAAGACTGGTGCATTTTAACTATTATAAAATATTTAAAAAATTAATAAAGAGAACGAATATTTTGTTAAATCTAGGAGTGTACGCTATTAATTTATGCTGCATATCACGTGTTAATACTTAAATTTTAGTTATAGACCAATGTATTTCAACTTCTGAAATATCTTTAAAGAGGACGAATATTTTAATAGGAAAATATAATTTATATTTTAAATGTAAACTAGCGAAACGCCTTTAAAGAGAGGGCTTTAAACTACTTCCAAATAAATAAGGCAAACCACTCATAATCTCTCCTCACCCCTTCCAGGTCCGTGAAGTTGGCCGAACGATGTGAGGATCAATTAACAAAACCTATGCCAATATTTAGAGTCTTAATTGATCTTCAAACCAAACATCAGCGGAATCAATGGTTAATGAGTTATAAGCAAAATAAGGAAAGTGTGAAATTTTGAAACTGGCGGAAGATTTATGGATCAATTACCGAAAGCTATACCATTGTGTAGCCCGTTAATTGATCCTATTTGATCTTCTATCCGGAAAGTAGCGGAATAAGCCGTTCATGAGTTATGGGCAAAATAAAAAAGTGTTGGCACTTTGCCAAAACCGAAAATAAATAAGACCATAATCTGAAACTTGGCAATTATGTAGTATTCAATATGTAAATTAATAATCTGCAAACCGCGTATCCGTATCCTAACCGTAACCAAGTTATAACGGTTTTAAAAACGTGAAGTTAGCGGAATTTTTTTTAAAAATTGAGGATCAAATACCGAAAATTATGCCAAAGTGTAGAGCTTAAATTGATCCTCCAGAATCTTTAAACCGCATACCAGCGGATTAAACCGTTCGTGAGTTGTAGGCAAAATAGAAAGGTTTTGGCATTTTGCCAAAATTTAAAATTCGAGCAATCATTGTTAAAGCCAATATTTAGTGTCTTAATTGATCCTCCGAATTCTTTAAACGGAATGTCAAAAAAATTAAAGGAAAGTGAGTTATCAACAATAAATATTTCAAGGTCAAATTTCGACCTGACAAATTATGGCTATGAAACTTATATCATTTTTATTCTCGGTTGATAACAAATGCTTAAGAAGTTTAATAGCTGAAATTAAAATGTAAAAGTTAATAATAAAATTAATAAAAACAAATTACAGTACACTAAAACAAAATCTAGTGCAGCGACAGACATTCTATTATTTTTGCCATTATTTAATGATTGTAAATTTTTTTATGAGCTTACTAAATGATTCAAGGTCAAATTTATACCACTGAAATTATATATGCACTGTCCTATTAAATTTTATCGATTTAAAAGGCCAATGATAAAGCTCGAAAGCCTATTATATTACTCTTATAAAAGTATATTCCTTTTTTAATTATAAAAAAATTAACCACATGTGTTAATAAATCAATTATTAATTTTAACTTTAATGAATATAATATTCTATTTTATAAAACTATTGTAAATATTCTATATCGTAATTCAATTGATATGTACTAAATTTTTTAATTTTATTAAAAATTATTCATGGCTTTAACTAAAAAACTTAAATTTAAAATCAGCCTCAACTCACCCTTAAGGTAAATAAACTTATACTGTAGTTCTTGGGCATAGGCTTTTTTTTGCCCCGCTCTTTTTCTTGAAGCCTATGGACGTCTGTAACATTTTTCGAAATGTTGCGCGTACAAAATCTTCGACTTAGATTAAAATATTACAAGTACAAAAGCCACAAAGGCCGATATACTTGGCTAAATTAAATAATACATAATTTTTCTAGATAGCTACTTGTAATTCAAGATTACTAATACATTCTTCTAAAGATCTATCAATAAAGAAGGAATATATTTTTATAAGAGTAATAATAGGCTTTTGAGCTTTATCATTGGCCTTTTAAATCGATAAAATTTAATAGGACAGTCCATATATAATTTCAGTGGTATAAATTTGACCTTGAAACATTTAGTGAGCTGATAAAAAAATTTACAATCATCATTTATTTCCTAAAAAAATTAAATAAGATGATGGAAATTTTAAAATATGGAATTAACCATAAACTACAGAATTTTATACGAAATACAAAAATAATTGCTGGAATAATATTCGAATATTTTTTTACTATTCAATTCTAAATAACAAGAATAAAATTATTCAATTCGAGAATTCATTAAGAGCAAGGTGTATGGGATATTTTCAAGAGCGAGAAAAACAAGGAATTGCTAAAAAAAATAGATTGGAATAGAATCAAAGTGTTAATAGATTGAGGTGTTTTGGCGGGATCAAGCCTTGAGGAAGACCAAAGAAACGTGGATGAAGGTGATAACACGAATGGCATGAGAATAAGGGGCCTTACGAATAAATAGTAATATTGCAGACCGTAAAAGTTGATGAAGGGGGAAAACAGGTTTAAACCTGGAAAATGGTCATTGTGATAGGATGAATACAATTATTTGTTTATTTATTTTATTCATCAAAAAAAAGTAATATGTACAATCTTAAAAAATATATTATTTGTTAGTTAAATATTTACAAAATCTTGATAAACAAAAATATTTTTGCATATAATGAAATAAAAATGGCTACAAGAAAAAAATACTTTTAATATTGAAAATGAATATAAAAACAAAATTCTAAAATCCTAAATTTTTAAAAAGGGTTCTGATTCGGGTTCGATAATGACAATTCATGGTTTCATTCCAGCCATAAAATTGGAACATAAGAGCAAAAAAGGTTCTCGGGGGAGAAAAATATTAGCGTATTAATCCTTTGCGAAATGCATAAGATTATTCTATGATTTTTTTTTGAATAGACGCCTAATAAAAAATAATGCAAAAAATAAATTAAAGAAAAATCGATAGAAGCTACATGCTTTAAGATAAGAAACATTAAGCAATAGAATACTAATGGGAAAAGAGATTATGATCAGATTGGAATTCCTATTCCCAGAAAAAAAACCACCCTATCACGGCCTACAATGGCAACTTGTGCAGGAACATAATACACGGCTTTTTATAAAAGATACGAGGATAAGGCAAAAAAAAATATTCTTGAATTAGAATCCAAAAAAAAATTATTATATAAACTTTATTTTCCTATAATCCTTGAATAAAAAGTTCAACACTAATAGTAATAATAATAAATGGTAAAATTTTTGTCATTTTAATTGATAGCGAGAGCGTTTGTTTGTATTTCCTGTGCTAATTGTGTTTGCAAATCTGTCAATTTCCGTTTTAGTGTGCTTATTGCTGACAATACTATATTTTCAGGTTTGAGAGCTCCTGTAGACTCGATGTTAAAATAAAATTTGTTTGGTTTTCCCATAGGGTCATATTCAGCTTGATCTAGCAATTTTTAATAACAAGTTATATAAAATTTATAAAAAATATCGAAATTTATATAAAATTATATTTCCAGAATTAAATGAATAAAAGATTTACATGTGTCATCATCTAATTCGGAATATTCACTCTTTGGCCTAAAAAACATAAAATATCAATATATTTTTTTTAAGAAAATAATATGCAAAGATAAGTTAGATAAATTTTTGATCTGATTTTAGGATCAGTTCAATTTTGGTTCACTTTTTAGGGCTAGCAGCTATTTTATTGGTAAGAATATTAGGCTAAAATTCTGTTAAATTATTTTCTTGTGAATTATTTCATAATATTATAAGAATAAATAAAAATTATTTGGTTCATTTAAACAAATCTAATATGAATTATGCACTTTTAAATTCACATTTGATTATGCCTACCATGAGTAATGGTGTGCTAAATATTTGCAAAGTTTATACTTGAAAGGTGGTTTGAGTTAGTAGAGAAAGTCAATTAGCAAATATATTACTGATATTACAATATTTTAAAAATTCTAGGATAGAGCTCTATGTTATATTACTTATTTCTCATTTTATAATTAGTTAAGATCAGTAGTCCAGTTGTCAGAATGTTATAATTTTGAAAAAATAGATGTCAGCTGCAGGCAGAATGGATTTTAATAACTCTGGGTTTATTCACTTAAACAGGTCACGACACTGTTGACCTTTACTATAAATAATTTTCTGATCTATTCTTAGTTTTTGATAATTTAATAAATCTTTATTTCTTAATGTTTGGTATAATAATTTTAAACCATTCTTCTGGTTTGGGGTATAGTGTGTGTCTCAAGGCATTATCCGGGTCATATTCAAAGGCAACTCCACAAGTGGGGTTCCATTTGGCATGTTCTTTCCCAAATCCTTTTTTGGCATATGCTTTCAATTTCAGTTCTTGTCCTACTCTTAATTTGACTATCAATATATCTTGTTTAATTTTTTTTATTTAAGTTTATAATCAGTAATAATTTTGTATTCAAATAGATTAAAATTTTATAAATTTAAGGCTTTAAATTAATTAATTTAATAGTTTCCATATAAAATTACAATTTATCATAAATAAAAATAGGAACTACCATCAATATCACCGTATTCATTAGATTCATCCTCTCTGTTTTTTGATGTGACCTTTATAATTGTGTAAACAAAATTATATATTTAAATAATTTAAGTTAAAGGTAAAGCTAGTATAATTGAAATATATTATTTTTTGAATCTTGATAAAAATAATATATTATAAGAAAAAAGGTAAAATCCTCACAGGAATACATTTGTTGTCTATAGATAAAAGATTGGCAGAAGTTACAAGTCTTGTTTTGTTATCCAAACATTTAAAATTTAGAGTAAATTCAACAGAACAATTTGGGCAAAATTCTTGGCAATCACAATCCTATAATTTGATAATATATTTGATTTAACAGTATATTAAAATATTGAATAGCTTAATGATCAAATAGTTATAAGTTTGTAAATAAATTATTAAAGTTTGATGGGCTCAAAAATGGTAACATTACCCTTGTATATAATAATTTATCGACTAATTCATCACTGGTCAAAGGTATCAACCCCAATCTATGTGCAATAAACTCATCATGTAAAACAGAGGAATTAGCATCAATTTGTACCCAATCAATAGCTTGTATAAAAATAAAATGCAAGATAATACATATTTTTTACATATCCAAATGTATTGTTAATGGCCCACATAAAATTTTAGAAAAATAATATGATGCTCATAGATAGAAGAAAGGTTGGATCTCTATTTACCAAAACTTCAGGTTTAGATAGTATAAATAAATCTTAGTGGGGCCATTCTTAATAATTGACCCAAATTAACAAAACTATCAAAATGGTTTGATATTTTTATTATTTTTAAATATAAAAATTATATCTCTTAAAATAGATTTCTAAACATGAGATATATTTAAAATACCTAAAGTTGGAACTTCTGCCATGCATACTCGTCGCAAGCTATTAGCCATGCTGTAAAATTAACAATATATCTGATCAAAGTAGATATTTATACCTCAAATCGGTGTCTTCAATAGAAAACTTAACATTCTCCACTGTTAGTTCTGTAATATTTATAGTAGGTTGATTAGCAAACGGCATGATAAAGTTTTTCGAAAATCATACGATTGACTACCTATCACTTATCCTATCTTATGGCTCAACCAAATAAATATGTCATTGGGCCCAACTCAAGAATTATGAACCACATGACCTGTCACCTGCCATACTTGATAATTATACTATGAATATATTATTTTTGTAATTATTCTATTTATTATAGTTATATTCTAGTCTAACAAAAATTATATATACATTCCCTCTACAAAAATTTGAAGTATATTTTATGACATTTTTAAAACCCTAAACATTGATGGATGCAAGATAATTTAACAACCAAAAAAAATCTATTTAATTTATCTCTTAATAACTATGACTAAGCAACATTTCTAGATTGTAGATCTGAATAAAATAATTTCTGAGACTGCCTACTACCTACAAGAAAGAAACTGCAAAAGACATACCTAAAAAGATTGAGCCTTCGATATCGTTACTAATTTTCGGATCTAGAAGAGAAATATAAGAATGACTTGAATCAGATATTTTATTTGAAACAACATTATTAGTTTCCATAGGCATAGCCAGGTGGGGGGGGGGGGTCAAGGAAAATTACCTCCCCCCTTCAAAAATTTATCTTTGTGAATATCATTTTAAGCTAATAAAAAATATCCCCCTTAGTCCTCGCCCCACTCCCTGGCCCCAAATAATATATGCATATATCTTAAACAATAATTTGAAAAGAATGTAAAAGTTGATATTTTTTATAAAATTATTCATCATAATTTATACATTTTTAGAAAAAAGCATTTATATATAAAAAAAGTGAACCAAAAATGCTTTATAAGAAAGGGAATATAAGCCAAAGATGTCTTAGGATAAAAATGAAACGTATTTTAATTATTAATAATAAATCCATAAAATTACTAAATAATATAATACATCAAATATAATTTTTTATGAAGTGAATAATTTTAATTATTTATCTTTAAAATCATTTTAAAAAAGTGAAATTAATCTTCTAGGCTCACCTTTATGCAGTTTTTCCAACTGTGAGGTGTTCGTGGAAAAATTTTTCGAAAGCTTATTAGGACTTGAAACTATTTTAAACGAAATTCCTTCACACCAGAGCTTTTTTCTTTTAAAAATATATTTATTTTTACTAAAGATTTTACATATTTTTAGATTTTCTTCCTTTTTTTTAAATAATGAAATTATTAATCGTGTTCATTTTAAATATTAAATTGGAAGATTTTAATTGGGGTTTCTCACAATTACCCTCGAAAATGAGGGTTTAGATTTATATCCTTTAAATCTTATATCTCTTTCCTCATTTTTGGCATCGCGTTTGATGAATAACGCCATGATATCTTCTTTTATCTCTCCTAAAGATAACCTTTTAAACTCAGCCTTGACAGCCTGGGTATCTTTAGCTCCACCTGAAGCTGTCTTACCAACAATCTTAACACACCAATCTAGTTTCGAACCTTTAATTAAAAATTTTTTTTAAATAATCTCATAAAACCCCCCTTTGGAGTATTTTCAACTACTACAGAATGCTGACTGTACTAGTGGTTATGAATGGTTGGAAGCATTGCCAAGTCGTAACCTAGGTAACCTCTTATCAGATGAACAATTAAGAGTTGCCATAGGCCATCGACTTGTATGTAACATTGTTCAACCACATACATGCATCAAATGTAAAATATTAGTTTACTCAAAAGGGAGATATGGTCTAAATTGTATATATAGTCAAGGCAGGCATGCAAGGCATGCAGCAATTAATTTAGCTATTAACCGTTCTCTTACCAGGGCTCGATTACCAAACATCCTGGAGCCTACAAATTTATCATTAGATGATAACTTAAGACCAGATGGCTTAACTTCCGTGCCTTGGCCTTTAGGGAAATCCTTAATTTGGGACTTCACATGCGTATCATCTTTCCCAAAAATTTTAAATTCTAATCCGGTTGATATAGCAGAGAAAAAAAAACAATTAAATATTCCAAATTCACAAATTATATTTTTACACCGATCGTTATCTCTTCCCTTGGACATATGCCAAGCGGAACTTTAAAGTTCTAAATATAGGGGATAAGACAAGAGCCTTTACATCAGAGCCAAAAGAATTCTATTTTTTAAAACAAAACTACAAATCACTATTTTAAAATATAATTACTCATGTTTTTGGGGAACTTGTAGTCCCACCTCCGTTTTTATATAATATTGTTTTATTTTATTTTATATTTGATATGTTAATTTTAATATTAATTTTATTTCTATATATATTTTTAATTTAAAAATAAATGACATTAGTAATTGATAATAAAAAATAATAAAAGTAAAATATAATTATAAAACTATTGATAAAATTAAATCATAAATTAAATAAAAAAATTAAAGCACAATACAAACAGTGGAATATTATATGTTGTAGATTTAAAGTATATCTAATTTTATCAATTATCATATGACAATCAAGTAATTTTTACCAATAGAGTGAATTATATATTTTGCAGAAAACTATAAAATATTGATAAGGACATCAGAAAATATCTTTTAAAGACATTGTGGGTAACAGCGTCTACATGAGCTAGAGGGGTAGGAACAGTTTGCATCCTATTTTTTTGAGGGGGTAGGCTGCTTTAATGAGGGTATGATAAATTTTTTGGGGGGGTTATCTATTAAATTTTGAGATCAAATAGGACAAAATTTATTGCTGTAAAAATTAATACTTTTATTAGAGAATTATTATAATACAATTCATCGACCAAATCTATATATTGCAAATAATCATGCAAATTGTTTTCCAAATAAAACTTTCTGCTATCCTTTGTAATGTAATTTAAAAGGTTTAGATATTTTAGCAAGATCATAATGCCATAATAATTAATTCATTGTAAATAATGGAGGTTTTAATTGAATTTATTATCTAAAAAATAAATTCTTTATATTCACAAAATATCGATAGTTGGTAGTAGAGATAGATTAATTTAAGTTGTCCTTTATTAATTCTCTGAAAAGTGTATCAATAAATTAATAAGGTGAAAATAATAATAAAGAGACACCGCCGCCGAAGGCGGCGGGAATTTTTAGGGGGGTAACAGGTTTTTGAAGGGGCTTTGCATCCAGTGAAAATCCTGTCATGTAGACGCTGGTGGGTAATATGAAGATTAATTTTTAATATCATTTTTTATTTAAAATAAATAGATGGCATTAAATAATTGAATGCAAATTGTTGGTATATTTATTATCAAGAGCATTGATTAGTAATTTGTTAAAATTATTCCATATTAAATCAACCAAAAAAAGTCGATTCTCAACCCGACCCCCTTCGATTTTTTTAAAAATTTGTATGTTGGTAGTATATACACTAACTAATAATAAAGTAAAATTTTACTTTTCAAATCGGCTTACTTCATGAGATATGGCCATCTTTAGAAACGCAAAAATTCCAAAATACAGTGTATTTAATTTTAAATATCTCAAAAAGTAATTAAGCTGAAGGCGTGATTTAAATTTTATTAAATAGTTTTAGAATAGCCCTTTATTATGATATAAAAATTATTTTATTAGTAAAAAGTCTATTACCACAAACCGGAAATAGAAAACCGGAAATAGCTATAAAATAGAAATTGCTCTTTTTTTTCTTTCAAATTTTTTTTACAAATAGACATTATACCTCTTAATATTTGTACAAAATTTTAGATTGGGACCATTACTGGGCCAATAGTTATTACGCTTTAAATATAAATAGTATGGCTTAAATCCTAAATTATACCAAATCTATAGTAATTTACGAAACAAATAAAAAGAAAATTCCTTTATGATCGGGCCGATTATATTTTTTTTATAAATGTTTCGGGCTGTGAGCCCACTAGTAGACATTATGTCACATTTAACATATAAGTTTAGCGATTTTATTTTAGAGAGAAAATAATTGTAAAAATATTTATAACTTTATTTAGCTAAGTATTTATATTACATGAATATCAAATGGGAAATTAATATTGTTATAAACATATTAAATTAAATAATATCATACATTAAATTATCTAATGAATTGGAATAACGTTTGACTTTCATTTTTCCTTCCATTGGAATAAATGAATGATATTTTTGTGTCCCGGGAATTAGTTTGGCCGTTAAAAATCTAATTTAGAGATTGGTTTCCATTCTTAAATATTCAACGTTGCTGACAAATGTATAATTAATACCCGGGATATTAATTCTCGCATAATTATATAAATCCATAGGAGTTAATATATGATTTTCATAAGGACGTTGCAGGCTTGCTCTAGCAGCCAACCTCTTTGTAATTCCCCTTAAACTATCGCAAGGAGTTTTGCCATGTGCAGTTGCAAAAAAATGCCATTCTGCCTTGATCCCAAAATCATTATAATGGTTGTAGAGGTTTACAAAGTTTTTTTTGTTCTTATACTGGGTAACGGCTCCATCAGAAAAATAATAAATTATTGAAATCTTATCAAATCTTGCTTTCAAGAATTAAATTAAATTTGTTTGAAATAAATAAAAGGAACAAGTATTGTGTTTAAGACAATCTGATATAACTACGTAACTTATATGTTTGATGGTACCGCTTTCGCAGTAATAAATCATAAATGGATGAAGTGTTGCCTGATTATTAGTCCAATGGAAGCCTTGAGCGTGATCTTGAACTACAAAAGCGTAGTTCTCTGCAAAATCGGATATTATTAGATATTCCCCATCCTTCAAATTCGATTTTAATGACTTAAAAAATAAAGATTGTTCCGAAGAAATAAATGCATGAGGAATTAAAATATTTAATTTTTCAATCAAATACTCCACAAATTCGCTGGCAGACTTAGTTAACGTTTCGAGGGTGGTACGGTCTGCCGCCAACCATTGTTTAAATGTAATATAATCTATGGCATTATTATCAAACAATAAATGTAATCTTTCTTTAAGTTCCAAAGTGCCAGGACACATTTGGCATTTCTTTAAGTAACAGCAAGCTTGGGCTGGATTGCATAGACTTTGTGCAATGTAATGTTTATAATCTTTTAAGGGAGGAAATGGATAGTTATGCTGGTTTGCAGTTAACTGATTTAATTTACCCCCAATTATAAT